TAATTAAAAAACTAAAAATGCTGAGGAGGCTCTGGGGGAAAAGGAACCCTTCTCCTTTTCGGTGGGAGTATAAACTGGTACAACCACTGTGGAAATCAGTGCAGAATTTCCTCAGAAAACTCAAATGAAGAGTTGCATCTGACCCAGCTATTCTTGCCCTTCTAGATATCTTCCTACAAGCACCACATTACAGGGGTACATGTATACTTGTGTCTAGAGCTGCACGATTTACAACAGTGAAATCTTGGAGGCAGCCTCTCTGTCCGTCAACAGACAAATGGCTGAAGCAACTGTTGTATTTTTCACGCAGTGGAGTACTACTGTACCATAAGGGATACATCTGAGTCGCTTGTAGGAAAGTGGGTACATTCTGAGGTCATAATGTTAAGCGAAGTAAAGCAGACACACAAACTCAGATATCACAAGATTTCTCTTATATGAAAAACCAAATATATAAATAATGTGCAATATAAAAGAAGAACAAGAGGGGAAAACAGAAGAGAAAAAAGTTATTGTAATCCAGCATGGCCAGTGTATCTTGATTGATAATTATTTTTTGTTGTTATTGTTGTTGTTTTGTTTGTTTGTGGAACCAGGGATTTGAACTCAGACCCTTGCACTTGCCAGGCAAGCGCTTATTCTACTGAGCCATCTCCCTGGCCCTTGCCTCTGTATTATAAACCTGGCAGGCTGACCTTTAGTGCCAGGTGCCTGGGCCCAGCTGGGTGGTACCTTGAGGAGCCGGGTGAGCTTGCTGTCCCGGTAGTTGACATACTTGTTGCTGCCCTTGTCACTCAGTGCATTGATACAGTTGCCCAGGGCCAGCAGGGAACGGTTGATGTGGGCCCCTTCCTTCATGCGCTGCCCGCGGTTCTGCGTCTGGGGGCAGCAGAGGACATGACTGTGACCTTCTGGGGGCAGGGCATGGGGCTCCACCTCAGCCCCCTCAAAATGCCCAAGGGATGCTGGCGATAAATTCCACTTTCTCCCTTGGGGCCCCCCAAATGTATCACTGATGTGAACTAAAGCCTTGTCCTGCTTTCCTGTCAGGGGGCTGGAAAACTTAAGAAGGTTAGGAAGACCATAGGGTCTCTAACAAGAGTTGGGGACTGCAGGCTTCTGAGCAGGGCCATGTGATTGCTGCTCAGCCTCCCAGGGGAGGCGCTGCCAGAAGATGTGGGCCACCAAGTGGCTTCCCATGAGCAGCCTCCACCACCAGACTTGACTCCAGAGCCAGAGAAAGCCACAGGCTTCGGGGAGCAAGGAGAGATGCGTGATGTATGTGTGAGGGAATATGGGGGGGGGTGCGCGCATGTGGGAGAGAGAGACCAATGAACAGGAAGAGACAGAAAGACAGAAACAGACAAAGGGATAGAGACAGAGACAGAGACGCAGACAGAAAGCGCTCCTCTCCTCTTGGCCTGCAGGGGGCGTCACGGCAGCAGGGCATCTGTCATCAGCCAGAAGCCAACTGAGTTGGCTAGCTTCTCCTCCTCCTGGAGAAGCTAGGACCAGCTGGCTCTGGCGCCGCACAACCTCTCCTCCCCGGCTCCCCGTCCCTTCAGGAAGACCACCAGGCTTCACTTGTGGGGAGGGAAGAGTTGGTTGAGCCTCACCCTGTTGTAACCCAGCTCTACGTGTGCAAACAGGAAACCTAGCTCACTGCCCCATGGGGTCCTTCGGCCTGCTTTTCTCCTGCGTTAGCACAGAGACATCACTTGGCCTCCTCTCCTGGTGACTATGAGCAGCAAGCGCGCCTGCAGCAAAGCGCAGAGCCGGTGGCTGCTGGGTGGTATGGCCTCCCAAGGCCACCAAATCAGGCAAGCAGGTATTTGTGGTGGAGAACAAAGACACTTGGAGAAACGATATGCCTGGCTGGGCCCTTTCCAGGCTCTGCCCACATCCCTCAGTCAGGGGCTTTTCTCCTTCCTACCAAGTCCCTCAGCTGGCCCCAGTTGTTGTTTTCCTGGCCCCATCCCTCCTGCTGCCCCCACGCAGACCCTTGGCTCTTCCCAGGATACCACAGCCCGCCCTTACCTTCCTGAGCCTCTGGGACACTCCCTTGGCCCTCACCCTGGGCTCCCACTCATCCCCCTGCCTCTCCTGGGTGTTCTCCCCATCCCCGTAACCTCCAGGGAGCTGTCCCCACACAGCAGCCTCTCCCCAGCCCTGGAGAGCCAGCCTCCCCTGGGGGAGCACTTTCCCTGGTCCTGCTTTCCTCTGGGACAGAAATCCTTCCTCTGTCCCCCAGAGCCAGCCTCACCTGGGAGGCGCGCTCAGAGCCAGCCAGGTCGATCATGAATAGGCGGCCCTGCCGCACCTCCTGCACGATGCTCTTGATCCGGCTGCGCTGGCGCACGGCCACCTGCAGCACAGCGTGGGAGCGTGAGGATGTCTGGTTGGCAGCCGTGGGCTCCTGGGTCCTCTGCTGGTTCCCTTTCATTAGCAGTTGCATAACCTAGGGGTTAGAAGGGAGGGAAGGAGGAAGGGAGGGACCAAGGTCTTGGGGACCAGTGGAGACGTCCTGCATAGAAGAGAAGCCTGGGCCAGGGGAGGGGGCTCCTGGATGCACCTGAAAGGCTGGGAAAGGACAGCTGGGGTGGCCTGGCTTCCATGACTGAGGGGCCTGGGTGGGCGCCTCAGCTCCCCGGCAGGTGGCCTCTGTGGGCAGGGGGCAGCTGTGCAGCCTGGGCACGCCCCCATGGCCAGTGAGGTTGAGGCACGGCACAGGCGTGAGATTCCCTCTTGCTACCACTTAAGATTCTCTCTGTCCCAGCCCTCACTGAGCACCAGGGGCTTCCTGGCCTCTGTCCTTCTCCCTGTCCCCTCTCACTGAATGTCCTTTCCACAGCCCCTGACTGACCACACAGGACTCGCCTCGTTGGCATTAATGGCTGAGACCTCCGTGATTCCAGCAACCTGGATGGCTCCTTTGGAGTCCTCTCTCAGCTCCAGGTATCCCAGGGTGGGGTTCAGCAGGTCCCGGATCATCTCATTGTAGATCTGATGGGACCAATCAGGGAGGGAGTGCAGGAGGGAGACCCAGGCCAGGAGGTCCAGGCAAGGAAGAGACCCCATCACCACTCTCCTCCCCCAGCAGGAGGGGAGCAGGTGCCCAGGCTTTCTGGGCTCCAGACTCCACAGATGACACTACCCAAGGCTCTAGAACCCAGTGGGGCTTCCCAGGCTGGGTGCTGGACAGATATGGGGACCTGAGCAAAAGCTGGACTGGGCCAAGAAGACTCGCCCATTGCAAGGCAGTCCTAGGCCTCTTCCAGGTGGCTCTCACACATGCTGCTGTCACTAGTGGCCGGCAACCCCACCTCACTGCTCCTCCTGGGAAGTCACTTGGGAGAAGATCAGCTCCCAGAGGATCCATGGGGAAGCCAGCCTGCTGCCTGGGTCTCCTGCCTCTTCCACACTCAGTGCGGATAGGTGTGCTTCAGGAACGGGCCCAGGAGTGTGGGAGGAGAGCTGGCTGGGAGGGCTGCGGAGCTCTGTGCTCCGAGTGTGGGACACCAGGCCATGCTCAGCTCTAAAGCCACCAGGTCCTGGGTCTGAGTCCCTGCTCTCTTGCTGTGTGTCATGCATGCCTGACCTGTCTGGTCCTCCTTTTGTGGAAAGTGGGGCCAACAGCATGCTCATGGGAGAATGGTCATGATGGGCACCTCAGCAACCACCCAGGAACAAGCTCCAGGCCTGGGTGGGGGCTCACCTCCAGGTAAGACATGGACACCTCATATTCCATGTCACTGCTGGTCTCCTCAATGGCACGGAAGAGGTCATTGAGGGTCCGCACGTAGATTCCTGGCTCATGGTCAGTACCCAGCATGGTGTAAGTTTTTCCACAGCCTGAGGTAGAGCAGAATGATGGGTGAACAGAGTGGGGAGCAGGGTGAGGTCTTGCTGGGCAGATGCTCCTGGCAACCCTGGGTCTGTCCCCATGACTGGGTCCCCAGATGGCCAGGTGGTCGTGAAGGGCAGGAAGATGATGACACTGGAGAGGATGGGGTTTGGATCAGCCATAGTCTTGATCTCTGCCCAGCTGGGACCAGAAAGGGGACATGGTTTTTAAGGGTGGAATGACAGGGATGTTTTGGTCTGGGCTTCTGCCTCACCTGTAGGACCATAAGCAAAGACAGTGGCATTATAGCCCGAGATGACGCCTTCTATGAGGCCCTTGGTGGTAGCCCGGTACACCATCTCCTGCAGGGAACAGGAGACAGGTGGTGGGCCTGGCACACAGACAGGGCAGAGCACGGATGCCCACAGGCAATGCTGGCTCTGCATGAGCACTCTGGACACCAGAGACACTTCCCTCTGCAGCTGGCTCCCTGCCCCCAGCTCTAGGGACACATCCCATCTGCTCCTGGGAGAATCCCAAAGATGGGTGAGGTGGGAGCCCCTAGGAGAGTATTAGCTTCCCCAAGACTCCTTTGCCTGCCCTCTCCATGCCAGATGGGCTTCAGGCTCCTGCCTCCAGGTTGGATATGGGCCATCCAAGGAGTGTTTCGTGTTGCACGTTGGCAGGTGTGTGTGTGTGTGTGTGTGTGTGTGTGTGTGTGTGCATGCACATACACGTACTACTCCAAGCATGTCCAGGCAGGAGGCCAGGTGTGTCCACCACACAGGCGTACAAGGGTAGACACCGTGCAAACATATGAAGACCTCCCTAGGTGGGGAAAGCTCTGGAACTTGGATCCTTGAGCAACGTGGTGGAAGGACTGTGACGGCCAGTGGCAGAGTCCCTGAGTGCTCCTGCCAGGTGGGCAAAGGATCCCAAGGGGCTCTTTCATGTCTAAAGCCCAGGCCTTCCCCTACCTGGGTGGCAGTGAAGTCAAAGGCCACATCAAACAGGTAGGACTTCTCCCGGGAGCGGTGTGCCCGCAGAATGTCATCAGGGTCCTCCATTGGGTCCATGAGAACCACCATCTGCAAAGGTCCCCAAGGGGAGGCCATAGTCACCTGCGGTCCCCTGAGCCCCGAGCTCATCCCTGCCCCCATCCACTCTCCAGGTGTCAGATCTAGGTGCTTGGCCTTGGGTGCAGCCCTTGCAAGGCTGCCACAGTCCCGAGGGAGCAGGGAGCTCTGAGGGACTGCCCCAAGCGCAGCAGGCCCAAGATCCAGGTCCCACCCCTCACTGCAAAGCTCTCTCCTCAAGAAGAGCAACGCAGGGCTTTACGCCTGAGGAAATTTTTTCCCACTGCACAGCTGAGAAATTTCAGGTCCAGAGTGCAGGTCACACTAGCCAGGAAGGACCTGGGGCTCAAAAGCTGGCACCTGGGTTCAAAGCCTGCAGACCCATTTTCTAGAACAATCTCTGAGGCCACCCCAGTCCGCCTAGGTCTTCAATGTGCCAAGCTTTGTTCTGGGCTCCATGTGGAAATGCAGAAGAAGGAGCAGGATCTTCACTGGGGGTCCCAGTTAGGGATGGGTGGGGGAGTCGGTGCTCCCAGAAATGACAGAAGACACTCAAAGTCTCACGGGAGAGCTTGAATTAAGGGGATGGAGGAGGAGGGGAACAGGCCCCAAAGAGGACAGTGATGGCAGACTCTGAATCCCAGGCCCGCTGCTCAGTAGTAGAGTGGTCTTGCACAAGCATGGTGACATGCCAGAGCCTAGGTCTCTTCCTCTGTCACATGGGCCAGCACCACTGTGTCCCCGCAGGGCTGTGCATATCCCATGAGACAATGTGTGTAACACCTGCTAAGTAAGTGCTCAGAGGTTCTCCTTAGGAATCTCTCTCTCCCTCCCTCCCTCTCTCCCCCCTCCCTCTCTCCAAGCTTCTCCTGGGACCTGGTCCCTGTCCCAGGCAGCCAGCAGCAGGAGCTCTGCTCAAGTTTCAGACCCACCTGAAGATAAAAACTGGCTCCAAGTTCTCTGGCATAGCTCCCCTGGGATGCACCATGAGCCTGGCTGACCATACCAGCTCTCGCCCACAGCAGGACCCTCAAGGAGCTGTCAGTGCTGGGGGGGTGAGCAGCATGCATGTGCTAATGCCACCCCTCAATGGTGACTGTCACATGACCTCTGGGCACTGCCAAGTTCATGGCACCCCGGGCATCTGGTTCGCTGACCCACGAAAGCTCCTACATTAGTGCTTTGTCAGCACAGCAGCCATGATCCGCCCTGAAAGAGGGCTTTGTCTGGGTCCCATCTGCCTGAGCTCAAGCTCCTGCTCCAGCCTCCGGGACACCACCCCATACCTGTCCACTCTGGGACACAGTGGGGCCCTTGTGTCCCTGACCAGGTGAACCAGAGCTGAGCTGGGGGCTGGGAGGGAGAATGGGCCTGGGTTGCCAAGGAGAAAGAAGAGCAAAGCCAGGTGTCCTGCCTCTACACACTCCTGGGTATCAGACACTCCTCATAATGAGGGGAGTGCAGCAGGCAGCGAATCCAGCCACAGCAGGGGAGGTGGGAAGGCTTCCTGGAGGAGGTGGCACCAGCGCTGGGTCTTAAGGAATAAACAGGAGGGGGCTGAGAGAGGTGAGGGTGGAGAATCTTCTAGAGAAGGCAGTAAGGAACGCACAGAAGAGAGGCAGGCCTGGGCAGGGCCTCAGCTCGGATGTGCCGAGTTGCAGAATGAGTCTCACCTTGCATCCTCCCCGCAGGAGCTCTAGAGCCGGGGCCTGGAACTCACACGGGCATCCGACCCTTCCCCCAGGGAGCCCCTCAAGCACACGACAGCTGTCCTGCTAGCAGCTTCCTCTGTGTCCTCTGGGCCTCCCTCTAAATGTCACCCTGGCTGGCACACAGCATGTGCTCAAGGGACGTTTGCCAAATAAAGCTGCCTTTTATGGGGAGTTTTGAGTATGCACAACACCACACAAAGGGCTTGGCATGTGTTTTTTTTGTTTTGTTTTGTTTTGTTTTGTTTTGTTTTGTTTTGTTTTGTTTCCAGTATTAGGACTTGAACCTATACTGAACCTATATGGAGTAAGCTATATCCCCAGGGCTGTTATACTTTTTTTGAGATCTTGCCAAGTTGTTAAATTGCCCAGATTGGACTCATACTTCTGATCTTCCTGCCCTGGAGTCCCAGTGTGTTGGGATTATAAATGTCCACTGCCATGCCTGGCTTAAGCATCCTCAGTATTACAAGGGGACAGTCCATGAGGACTCAGACTACATCAATAACAAAAAGCTGCATTGCCAGCTATAGATTTGGTTAGATTCAAAGACATTTGGGTGGTAGAACCCAGGCTCCTTGGATCTGGTCCCTGTCCCAGGCTGCCACCCACCCACCCTCCCTCCTGCCCTCGCCTGCCTCTCCAAGAGAACAAGTGTGGGGACAAACGCCACCTGGCTGGGTGAATGTCTACCTGGTGGAGGCTGCGCTGTTTCCCTTCACCCCAAGTGTGGAAGCCCTAACTCCAGCGTGTTAGTCAGTGGCCTTATTTGGAAGCACAGTTGATGCCAGGCTGATCAGTGAGGAGAAGGAAGAGGAGGAGCAGGAGGTCTATCAGAGCAGGGGCAGCCCTTACTCCATCATGACCAGCGCTGTACAGAGAGGGAAAGCCAGACACTGGAGGCCTGGAGGGAAGGCGATGTGGGAAGACAAGGGGAAGGCAGCCATCGGCAGGTCAGGAACAGGGCCCTGGACCAGACCTCCCCGCTGCCACAAGCTATGAGACTATAAACTTCCGTGTTGAAGCCACCAGGCCTGTGGTACTTCACTAGAGCTGCCTTGCAAAATTAATCTACCCGCCAAGGTGGGTCCCCTGCCACGTGGAGGCAGGGTAGCCACAACCCAAGGAGGGGAGGCGCAGCCCAAGGCATCCTGGGCTCCATCAGCCTTTGGGCTGGAGAGAGGAGCCCAGAATAGAGCCTGCTGCATGCACAGGGCCAAGGCCAGCCGGCTCCTCAGGACAGAGCCACACCTCACTGACGTCCCTGTCAGGTAACCACGATCTATGGGACTCTGAGGAGCCCTAGGCTCAGGATGACAAGAAAGATGACCTGGAAGACAGTCTAGGGCAGTGATGGCAGACCTTTGAGAGCCTTCACATGTGCCCTAGGTTGGCCATCGCTGCTCTGGGGCTTGTCTCTGGAGTGGGTTGCAGGTGCCTTTATCAGAGTCCCCAGGGAATAGTGCCTGTAAAATGCAGATTCCTGGGTACCGTCCAGCTTCAGAAACACAGTCTCTCTGGAACTGTAGACCCACAAATCTGTATTTTTAATAAATCAGCACCTTCTGCTTATAGCCACCCAGCAGTTAGGTAACAGGCTCCTTGTGTCCTTGACGCTGTGCACCACATGGTGTGGTCCACACTGTGCACCACAGCTCGGAGCGGAAACAACACCAGTGCCCACCAGCGGAGGAATGGATAAACTGTGTGTGGCGCATCCACACCATGGAGAGTTACTCAGCCATGAAAAGATAAGCGATAACATCACTCTTGTTCAACACGGTTCTCAAAACATTAGCCGGAACAATCAGGCAACAGAAAAAAATAAAAGGGTTGCAGATAAGAAACAATGAAGCCAAAGTATCATTCTTCGCAGATGACAGGATCATCTACATATGCGAGCCCCAGATACCCTGAAAGACTCTTAGAATAAATAACCAAGGGCTGGGGAGATAGCTCAGTAGAGTAAGCGCTCACCTGGCAGGCGCAAGGTTCTGAGTTCAATCCCCAGTACCACAAAAAAAAAAAAAAAAAAAAAAAGAATAAATAACCAAAATCAGCCGTGTAGCAGAATACAAAGTCAACACACAAAAATCAGTTATGGGGCCAGCGAGATAGCTCAGTGGACTAAAGTGCCTACTTAGGCAAGTGCAGGGACCACGGTTCAATCCCCAGCACCACATGCCACACCGGCCCCGCATCCAGGGCAGGCGGAGCCAGCCAGAGTCCAGGCATAGTGGTGCACGGCTGTCATCCCAGCACTGAGGAGGCTGAAAGCAGGAGGATCCCATGAGTCCAAGCTGCATAGTGAGACCCTGCAACAACCAAATACGTAATGTAGAAGCAGTTGCAGCCCTGTATATCCATGATGAAGTCACTGGAAAAGAAACTATGAAAATAATTCCATTCATAATAGAATCAAGAAAAAATCAATACCTAGGAATTAATCTGAGGAAGCAGAAGACTTCTATGGTGACAATCACATCACTCTGAAAAAGGAGAACAAAGAGGACATCAGAAAATCTAAAGATAAGGCCGGGAAGATGGCTCAGTAGAATAAGCGCTTGCCTGGCAAGCGCAAGGGCCTGAGTTCAATCCCCAGCTCCAAAAAAAGAAAGAAAAAAAAAAATCTAAAGATAAAGCCAAGCATGGAGATGCACGCCTATAATCCCAGCACTCAGGATGCTGAGGCAGAAAGATTGCTGTGAGCTCAAGGCCAGCCTGGACTACAGAGTGAGTTCAAGGCCAGCCCAGACTACCTAGAGAGATCCTGTCTCAGAAAATAACAAAATAAAATAAAATGACTTAGGAAAAAGAAAAATGGAAAGCTGTCTCCTGTTTCTAGACAGGCAAAACCAACATAATTAAAATGGCTATACTTCCAAAACTGACACGAGATTTAACACAACCCCAATCAAAATACCAAGAGCATTCCTCACAGATCTAAATAAAACTATCTTAAAATTCATACCGAACCAGAAGAGATTCAGAACAGCAAAACAATCCTGGGAAATAAAGGCAAAGCAATAGGTGTCCCTCCCAGGCCTGAGATTATAATACAAAGCTACAATGATAAAAACAGTATGTTAAAGGCACAAAAATATACACATTAATCAATTCTGTTTAGAATAAAAGAAAATAACCACAGGCACCGCCGGCTGCTTGATCTTTGACAAAGGGACCAAAGAACATACACTGTAGGAAAGATGTTCTCTTTAATGAGTAGTGCTGGGAATGTTGGCTATCCACACGAACAAGACTGACCTAAACGCATACTTCTCACCATGTACTAAAATAAAAATGGATCAAAGATCTAAACGTCAAAGCATGAACCATCTACTGGAAGACAAAATAGGCACAATGCACAGTGCTTGAAGACATAGGCACGCCTGTAATCCCAGCTCTGGGGGAGGCTGAAACAGGAAGATCACTATGGCTCTGAGCTGCATAGCAAGACCTTGTACCAAATATACTAAAAAAAAGAAAAAAAAAATGAAGACATAGACCTAGGCAGGGACTCCAGTTGCAAAGGAAATCATACTGAGGATCAACAAATGGCATCGTATCAAACTAAAAGGTTTCTGCACAACAAAGAAAAATTCCTCAGGGTGGAGAGACAACCTACAGGATGGGAAAAGCCCTTGCTAGCCATCCCTCGGACGGAGGACTAACATCTGGAATACATAAAATAAAATTTAAAAAATAGACCCCATCCCAAATAAAAGACCCAATCAAAACTGGGCAAGTGAAATGAGCAGAAGTGGCAAGAGGTAGAGGATGGTGGATGTAGGGGAGAAAGAGCGATGGAAAAATGGAAGGAAAAAGTGAAAATAGTGCTTTTACAAGCAGGCAGGAGATGAAGAGCTGGACCGAGGAGAGGGGGAGGGGGGAGGGATAACAGAGAAAGTTGTTGTGTTACGTATGTGCACGTGCTCCTCACGATGGATGTGCTTATTATGTACTCCAAACATGTGCAGGATTGTTACAGGATCTCACTATGCAGCTCGAAGTGATTCTCCTGTCTCAGCCTCCCCAGTGCTGGGATTACAGGCATGCAGCACTACACCGTTTCGGTGGCTGGCACAATGCGCCTTGGGTTCCAGGGCCAGCATGACATGCAATACCAGCAGTCAAACCCGAGTCCTTGTGCTTGCCAGGCAGGCACTGAGGCACTTAGACTGCTGAGCTATCTCCTCAGCCTTAAAAAATAAATTTTAGAAAAGAAAAGTTCTGACACAAGCTATAACGTGAGTAAAGCTCAAAGACATGACATAAAAGACCCATACTGTAAGAGCTAATTACATTAAATGTCCAGAATGGGTCAGAGACAGATGGAAAGGTTTTCCTGCATCTGGGAAGGGATGGAGGAATGGCTGAGAGGGCAGGGTGAAGGTTCCTTGCACCCTCCCCTGGTCATTTTCTTCTTTCTGTCTTGGAGACAAGGTCTTGGTATATAGCCCAGTCTGGCCTTGGCCTTGTGACAATCCTCTTGCCTCGGTTTCCCTCCTAAGTGCTGGGATTATCAGGCATAAACCTCCACACCTCGGTCCTCCTTGTCATTTTCTACCATTTGCTCTACGGCAACAAGTCCACAGATAGAGCCCCAGACCAACGGGGTGCGGTCAGCCCCACCCTGCTCCCCGCAGGCAAGCCCGTGGGCTAGAGCAGCTAGCTACCCCACGGCCACCCTGTCTGTGGCGCTCGCCTCTGTCACCCGATCCTTTATTTATCATTCACACAGCTGCACATCCGTGTGGGACACAGTTCCCCTACGTCTTCTCCCTTACTGCTCTCCACAGTTCTCGGCATGTGTGGAGCAGGAGCTTAAGTCTCCCATCTTCTGATGAGGAAACAGAGACGGGGCAGGCTCTGCAGCTCGCTCCAGGACCAGGCAAGGTGGGGCGTCGGGCTCCCAGCCTGAGGCTGCCGAGGCTGTGTCCTGCTGGGAGCCGCAGCTCTCTCCCTCTGCTCTCTTTCTGCGACCTACATCACACCTGCCTGGGCCCCTCTTGTCCCTCCTGTGCTCACCCCTGACCTGCAGGCCTGGGCCCCCACCAGCCCTCCTGAAAGGCCCCTGTCTGACTCCACAGGACCCCAGGAGCAGGGGCTGACAGTTGGGCTGTGAGCAGATAAATGCTAATTATGGGATTATACGCATTGTTGGTTGACTTAAATCCTGTAGACAAACACTACCTGGAAATCCAGGAGGAGGGTCAGCAGGCCTGGCTTTGTGGGCAAGTCTAGGCATTGTTTTTTGTTTTTGTTTTTGTTTGTTTTGTTTTGTTTGCGGAAATGGGGATTGAACTCGGGCCCCTGCGCTTACCAGGGAAGCGCTTATTCCACTGAGCCATCTCCCCAGCCCTAGGCTTTGTTTTGAAGCTTCTTCCCCAGCCTGGCATGCCCCACCCCCAGGAGCCTTTTCCTCCCTCCCCAGAGGTCTGGCTTCCAGGTTCCGTCCCACCCAAATGCTGCTAAGCCGGGAGTTCCCAGTGGTCTTCCAGGAGCATGCCCTCTGGAGATGGCTACATGGGGACCGTTCCAAGAGCTGAGATGAAGGCAGAATGAGGCTGGGTTTTACCTAATTCTGAAACCATCCTGTATTTCACCACTAAAGATTAACGCATGCTCTGCCGTGCTCAGGTACAGTGTCGAGAGCTGCACAGCCATGAACACTTACAGAACTACCATCTAACTAAGGCATCCTGTTACGGCCTAAACTAAACTGGGGCCCTGGGACCCCAAGCCCACGAGACACCTGACCAGTCCTCTCACGAATCCAAGCCTGAACTCCAGCTTTCCCAGAATCAAGGCACACTGGCCTCTTGTCTGGAGGACACTTTGTGACAGGAGTACCCACCCACCTTGGCCCAATTCCAGATGCCCCTGGGAGAATAATTCCTCATCCTAATTCCTCATAGGGGTTCTATAATGGCTTTATAGAACCCCTCTCACTGGTTCAAGCCAGGGGGGGACTGAGTCCCTCTTCTCAAAACTTGTGGATAAGAGGGCTGTGGTAGTGCTCACTTTCTGCTGCCCACGAAGGGGCCAAGCCTTGGTAGTGCATTCCAGGCTGCACTGCTCAGGGCTTCCCACCCTTGGACCTAGGACACCAACAGAGGAAAGGGACCTTTCATCACCGAGGCGACACAGGAAGCAAGAGGAAGCTGACTGGGGAAGCTCCGGCCCTGGCGGAGAGCCCAAGCCAGTGTCTCAGAGGAGGCAGGGCCCTGCTGGCCCATCACATACTGGCTGGACAGGGTCACCACAGCCATGCTGTCCTAGGCAAGCTCACAAACTCACCCCACCAACTGCTGGGCCTCAGGTCTAAGGAGGAAGGAGACTGGGTCCTCAGCGCAGCGGGGCAGGCCTGGAGCTTGAGGATTCCTCAGGGCCAGGGCTGCAGGGGAAGGTGGGGTCACTGGGGAGAGTTGGTCAGGATGGGAGGGAAAAAAAACCCCACATTGCCTATCCTGGGTCTTGGATTGGTATGCTTTAACCTCCTGTTGCCATGGTCTATTTGTCAGGGGGACAGCTTGCCTTCCAAGTCTCTCAGTTCAGAAGGGGCTGCTCTGCACCTCTCCACCGCCACAGGGCCAGCCCTGATGGCGTGGCTCAGTTCATGCCCAGCTGGAGGAGTAGCTCAACAACTGGGCCAGATGCGGCGCATTCGCCTCTCCTCTGCCCATGGGGAGAGAATGGAGCCTGTGTCTGCCGAATGTGGGCACACAATGGGCTGTGCCCCAGAAAGAGAGTAGTGTTCCCAACAGTCAGTTATCTATCAGCCCCCATGGCGGCTGGGAGCCAGGAGCAGTGAGAAAGGGAGATCATTGTCCCAACCTGAGGACCTGATAGCCTTCCTAGAGGATAAAGCAGACTTTTCTCCGGTAGCCCTGCAAGGCTGCGCCTCCCACCAGCCCACCCCACATCCCTGGGGAATTTCAGTCCCAAACAGATGTCGGTCACTGACAGCTCTGCAGCTTGCCCTCTGGGCCAGGCCCTGGGGAAGCACACTTGGAGGTCAGCCCTCAGAGACCCTCTAAAGAAAACATGAAGACTCTGTCCCCGCTGCCACATGAAGTAGCTGGGCAACAAGAAACTCTCCTCCAAGGCTGCATGACTGGACAATGCAGAGGCCACTCCGCGCTGGGGTTTAGGTGCCTTTGTCCAACCACACGGCGCCCTTCTGATTTCTCTGTCCTGAGAGCCCATCCTACCGCCCAGGAGCCCCAGCATTTGGGAGAAGCCAGCCCCAGCAGCCACAGAGCAGTGGCCAGGGGCTGTCACCCAGGCTGTCACATCACTCTCACTCTCCCACCAGGATGATCTCACCTGGGCACCGATCCATCCCTGCTGCCCCTGTAAGTGTCCTCCACTGCCTACCCCTGGCTGTGCCTACAGAGTGTGCCGTTCGACCCTCACCCCTCACCCAGGCCTTTAGCTCATCCCACACCTCTTGCCCCTGGCTGGAGCCACACTGGCCTTCTCTCAGTCACCCAACTGCCTCACTGTCCTTCTCGCCCCAGGTCCTTTGCACACACAGGCCTCTCTGCTCGAATCTCTCTCCTTGCACATGCTCCTAGTCACCTTCACTTTCCCCCTTAGTTCAGCTCAAGCACCAACTCCTGGAGGATCCCTCCCCAACCTCCAGGACTAGGTCAAGTCCCCCTGGTCCTCCTGGTGCTTCTTTTTCTTTGCAGCCCTCCTTCATCATAAGCTCTTTTATTCAGTTCTTAAGTATGCCACATCTTCTCTTGCTGGACTACAGGTAGTGGAGGCATTGTTTTTATTTTTCCTGTTCACTGAGACTTCTTAGCCTTTCCTGTGGTCCCCAACATGTCATGGGTACTTGATAAATATCTGTTGTTTTGTCCTTTAATCATAGCGACCCAAGGGCTGAGAGAACCAAGGGCCAAGGGCTTCACCAAACATGCACACGAGGAAATGAACTCTAGCTCTAACCATACGAATATGTGTTCTTTGGGCAGCAGACATATAAGATGGGAAAACCATGGGAGAAAAGTGACTGGGAACTACCCAGGAAGCCCTCAGCTTTCCTTGGACCAAGCTAGGAAGAAGGGTCCCTGGCTTCTTTGATGTTGGCCGTCAAGAGTGCAGGGAGGAGGGGAAGATGGGGCTGTGTCGGCCCTACCTGCCCCCAGGTGCCGGAGTGATCCGAGCAGTAGTCTCACATACCTGCTCGTCCACCTTGTGGGCAATGAGGGTGGCTCCTTCCTCCAGCTCTGCCACACTGATGGGCCGGACCCTGAGTGCCACCTGGGAGGGAAGACCAGAGCTCTGGAGTGAGGAGGAGAGGGCCATGCAAGCTCAGTGAGAATGAGACAGTCTCAAGCTTGTGACCCCACAAAGCGTCCAGCTACGCCAGGCTCCTTGGCCTTAAGGAGTCACTGTCACTGCTGAGGGCACAAGTCAGTCAGCAGGTCCCCAGGGTGTCGGACTCTGCCTGAGTCTGTGAGTCTCCCCAGGAGCCCGTGCCTCAGGGACAGCCACAGGGGAGAGAACTGTCTGCCTCACACAAGCAAATTAAACACCTTAAACACCAGGCTTGACCTTGAAGCTGGGGGCACCTGAGCAGCCCATGAGTGCCTTTGTGAAGGATATGCGCCAGGTGAAGACTGCACAGAGCCGGGGGCTGGGGCATGGGGGCCTGGCGGTGTGCACAGAAGCGCAGCTATCTTCCCTGAATCACTCTAGCAGCCTGTGACCACATGCCTGCCCCGGGACAGTGTCACCTGAAGCCGCCTCCTGTCTGTTCCTTAGTGAGACAGTGGGTCTTCCCCGCTGAGCTAGGGCTCCCCCTGACTAGCATAAGGGGGCAGAGAATTTCTTAGGCTGATCATAAAGACGCACCTGCTGGGCCTATGGGTGGTGCTAAGGGGGGTGCTCATCACTTTCAAAGGCACCTGCATTCTGTGTCCGGCAAGTCAGCTTTGTCTGAACCTCATGCAAGAAGGCAGGCCTCCCGGATTGGCCAGGCATCAAGCCGAGCATGTGCATACTTTATTTGGAGTAAATCATTTTTCCCTTTTTCTTTTCAACAGCACTAGGGCTTGAACCCAAGCACACTCTACCACTGAGCCAAATCCCAGCCTTCTTTAGTTCTTATTTTGAGATAGGGTCTTGCCAGGTTGCCCAAACAGGCTTCCAACTCGTGATCTTCCTGTCTCAACATCCCAAGTAGCTGGGATTGCAAATATGTACCACCATGCCTTAGCAAAATGTTTTTGAAGCAGCCTACTCCCACTGCCAGAGAGCGTATTCCAGGAGTCCAAGGCTGCCCTCTGGAGAAGCAAGGGCACCTTACAGAGGTGGGGTATGGAGCATCATGATGCCCTAGTCATGGTGCCGCCACTAGCAACTACAAGAGGCCCATTTCCAGGTCTCAGAAGTAAAGGTGGGGAGAGAAAGACCCCCCACCCACCTACCCGGGCCTAACAGAGGCCTTGGGGTCACTGGGTCTCCCCATCATTGTTCCAGCATAGCGCCACCAGTGACCAGGAATCTCTACCTTCAGGCTCTACCTGTCCCTTCCCCTCCTTCCACTTCTTCCTCTGTTCCAGGTCCCAGGGCTCTAGGGGTTGCGAGGTGACTTCCTGCACTTCTCTGAGGTACTGAGTCCTGACTTGGACAGCAGCCGCATGGCAGCCCATCAGCCACTGACTTCCTAGCCCATCCTGGCTGGCCTGGTGCCAGGGGCTCTTTCCAGACTCTGGATGGGCCAGGCTGGGTCCCCTCAGGTTCACCTTCTCAGGGAGTGGGTCAGATCTCCCAAGATCAGACAGCAGGCTCCAAGCAGATACTCTTCAGACTGTGGGGTGGGGTGCTCTGGGGTGTGGGGCTGAAGACAGGCTGGCTGTCTAGACTAAAAAGGCCATAGACTTGACAGATACCTGTTGCCTAGGACTTGGGCAAAGGAGCTCTGGGCTGTCTTAGCCCCTGTCCCTTGCTTGTCCCTTTAGTGGACACTGATGGAGGCTGACTGAGGTCTTTGGGTTCCTGGGGTCGTGGAAGGGGTGCTCTCCACGGAGACTCACCGTGAGTTGCTGGTCCTTGGAGTCCCCACAGTCTTTCATGCTTGCAGCGGGGCGGAGGGGCTCAGGCATAGCCCAGCCCACCTCCACCGCGGTGTCTTGGGTCACTGCTGTCTCTTTGCTGCTGCTGCTCCTGCTGCCTGACAACCTGAAACCAACAACTAGCTGGGCGCCGGCGCTGACCAGGAGGGGAGGCCTGGAAGGCGGGGCTTGGCCCGCCCTGCCCAGCCCCTTGCACCACCCTCCCTGGGCTTCCTGGGCGGCCACCCCCACCCGGGAGCCAACAGGCCTTTGGGAGCTCCTCCGGGGCTGCTGCCCTAACCTCCCAGCTCGCACCTCGCCTGAGTCACAGCCCTTCAAGGTGCACCCGCCGGCCCCTGGCCCAGCGCAGGTGGTCCCTCCGGCCAGACTTCCTACACCTGTGGTCTCTGGTCTCCAGGACAGCAGCTGGCAGCTTTGTGTCGCTATGGGCACTACGGGGACCGCGGCTGTGGCTGTGGTGTCTGGGGTGATTGCAGACACCCAGTCCCCAGTGGCAGAGGGCTTGGGAGGGCAAGAAGTTGTCCTGGGGCTGGTGAGATGGCTCAGTGGTCTAAAGCACCTACTTGGAACAAGCTTGCCTGAAGCACAGGGACCACGGTTCGATCCCCCAGCACCACATGCCAGCCAGCCGCGCCCCCTGGTGGGCTGAGCTAGCCACACACACATAAATGGATAGATGGATAAATAAATAAATTAAAAAAAAAAAAAAAAAAAGAAGTTGTCCTGGCTGCCTACCCCAGTCTTGTCCTTTGCCCTGACTACCTAGCCACGTGTTGCAGGGGGAACATCTGGATTAGCTGCCATGTGTTACAGTAGGGGCCACCTTTCCCACTAACAGAAGAAGTCCTGCCCTTAAATGCAGAATGTAGCTGGGAATGAGCAGCCCAGCTACCTGGGCAGCCTATGCTGTTCAAGGAAGGTTAAGTCAAAAGCCTGGATGATGGGGCATAATTATGATCCCAGCAATGAAAAGCTCCATCCTCGCCTGGACAACTTAATGACTTAATGAGATACTATCTCAAAATTTTTAAAAATATTAAAAAGGGGGGGGGGGCTGGGGATATAGCTTGCTACAAAGGCCCTGGATCCAATCTCTAGCACCACATTAAAAAAACAAAAAGCGGTGGGGGGCCTCCCTTCTTCATTACAATAACAAGATTACTCCATGATGCAGTGGAGAGCACAGAGGTGGAAAGATTCCTGGTCCCAGGAGGCCCCAGCACAACAGGATTCTGGGCCCAGCTCTGCCTCTAGCTTGCCAGCCACTTGGTGTAGGGTTTTCCCGCTCCCTGGGCATCAGTCTCCCGAAGGGTGTACAAGCACGCCCTGATTCTCGGAGTCCATCTTTTGTGTCCTCTGCTCCCACTGAAGCTGAGCCCAGAACCCCTGCAGAGTGCTCGGGGGAGAGCCTTGGTGGGGTTTACAAGCCACGGGAGGAGCTGGGAAAGACAGCACTCACGTCCCTTGGCGCTGTCTCAGACGTCTGGCACACACCCAGAGACCAACGGTGATGCCAGCTGGTGCCCTGGGACTGGCTTCGAGAGCTGCCCCTGAAGAGCTGGTGTTGGAGAAAGCTATTAATAAACAGCGCAGGAAGCAGCTGGCAGTGTTGGGCTTGATAAGTACATAAACCCAGAAAAGCCTGGTGGGAACCACGCCTTCCTGCAGAAGTCCCAGGTTGTGTCCCGTTCTCTGCCCGGGCTGCCCGGAGGCTGGTGGCTTGGCGCTGCAGTGAGAAGCAGGTACATCTTGAGGATGTGTGGTGCTTGTGTTTTACAGTCAGAATTCAGGCGGATGAACCATGGAGGCTCCTGGTCAATGCAGCTATGGGTAGTTTTCTTTTGTATTCTTCTATATGGATACGTCCCATCCATAAGGGCCCGTTGTGATTGGTGGGGACAATAGGAAGCTTCTAGCAGCAGTTCTCAGCCCATCTTACATGGGACACTCATCACAAAGGCCATTCTGCTCTTAAACACTTTGCTCTTGACTCCCAAGCTTTCAGCCAATGAAACCACTGCCCCCAAAGGCTCACCTCTTACAGCCGTTTTTGCTTCCTCTTCTCCCTTATCCTCACCTTCTTCCATCACATTTCTCTTCATCCTCTGTATCAGACTCTCCTCCCCTTGTCTGCAAACCTCTCCAGCCCTGACTGAGTCACGGTGAGCTCTGGGAGGAAGTGGCCTTGTGTGTGCCGAGCGCATGCTCCTTGCGCTGAGGTTCTGTCCCGGAAGCTGATTCTGCCCCCATTGCTCCTGTTCCCCCCCCCCCCATCCATCCCTACTGCCACTGCCCACAAGATTGGACTGTGAAGTCTCTCATCCAGATTAGAGCAGCGTGCCTGGGCTCTTTATCTCTAGTTCCCATCTACTTCCCAGATCGTCACTGTTCTCAAAGACAGAGCACTGTCATTACCTTGCTTCAAGTCCTGCCATGGCTTCCTCATGGAGCCAGCCTTTAGTCTGTGGCCTTTCCTGCTTTGCGTTGGCTCCTCCCAGGCCAGCCACACGTGGTCCTATGTGTGAGCAGCTCTCTTCTCTCACCCTTGGGCTTTGCCCCTGCTGCTCTGTCCTGGAGGGTCCCTTTTCTGGACTTGTCCGGCATCTCTTTCAAAACTCATCTTACGTGTCACCTCAAGCTGCCTGTCCTGTGGTCCACATGAGTCCCCTAGTCCACGTGATTCTGGTGGAACTCATCACAGCACCCGTCTTGCCCCTGCCATGGCACGAGGCCTGCAACCCAGGCATGGCCTTGGTCACAGTGATCAGCCCCAGAGGATGGATGTGACCAAGACTGGGCAATCAGAGCCTCTCCTTGGGCTGCTCCTGTACTGGGAGGGAGGAGCTCTGTCCCACCTTTAGTGTTACTGCTGAATGACTGCAGGCTGGAGAGGCCTGGGGCCATGTCTAATCCTCCCCATCCAACAGGAGGAGCTGCACAGTTGCAAAAGAATGAGATTGACTCAAGCAAAAAAGCTGGGGGGGGGGGGGGAGAGATCACATGAGTTTTTGGCTCTAGTCACACCTGAAAGCAGTCTTCTGAGTGGCTTGAGCCCTCTAAAAATTTACACATGTCCTTTCTTCATTTGACAGTGTTTTGTTTTGTTTCAGTTTGGTTTGGTTTGATTTTGAAGTACTGGAGATTCAATGTAGGGCTTTTATGCTGGGCTACATCCCAGTCCTCTTTTAAAATTTGTTCTGAGATTGTCTTCCTAAGTTGCTAAGGCTAAGTTGCTGATGCTAGCCTCAAACTCGCAACTCTCCTATCTCAGCTTCCTCAAGTGCTAGGATTACACACGTGTGCCGTCACTCCTGGCTGTAGACTTTAACTAATTTGAGTAGCTTTCTAAACATGTAACAGGGCCAGGGAGATGGCTCAGTGGAATAAGCGCTTCCCTGGCAAGCGCAAGGACCTGAGTTCAATCCCTGATTCTGAGTTTTTATTTATTTTTTTGGTGGAACCGGGGATTGAACTCAGACCCTTGCGCTTGCCAGGGAAGCGCTTATTCCACTGAGCCATCTCCCTGGCCCCATCAATCCCTGATTCTGAAAAAAAAAAAAAAAAAAGTGTAACAATAAACCTAGAAGTGTGGGCAGCTTGAGCTGAATGAGATGAGATCATCTTCCTCTAGGCTTTTTTTTTTTTTTTTTTTTTTTTTTTTTTTTTGGTGGAACCGGGGATGGAACTCTGGCCCTTGCACTTGCCAGGGAAGCGCTTATTCCACTGAGCCATCTCCCCAGCCCCTCTAGGCTTTCTTATAAGGACACTCACTACTGAGATCAGCATCCTCTGCCCAGGTGTCCAGGTCCAAGGGACAGGTGTTACACTGGTGTTTCTATTACAACTGCTGATGAGGATTCAGTCAGTGCATGAGTCAAGAGTCAACAGGGCAAAGCTGGCCAGGCCACAGTGGCATTACCTGAGTCTCCCAGGCAGACATTTAATATTCCTGCAGACAGCCCGCACCTTGTAAGCCATGGGACTTACAGAGTCTGAGGTCACCCTCAAGGTCTTTCATCAGCCCCAGGAACTAAGGTCTGATGGGTACCTGCCACCCACGAGAGGATGCGCTGGGGGAAGAACCAGAAATGTCATGGTTAGGGGCTGGGGAGATGGCTCAGTGGGATAAACGCTTCCCTGGCAAGCACAAGGGCCTGAGTTCAATCCCTGGTTCCGCAAAAAAAAAAAAAAAAAAAAAGAAAAGAAAAGAAAAGAAATGTCATGGTTGAGCTTTGCGAGGGTCTCATTTCACCATGGGGCCCTTTGACTCATAGAGGCTGAGGATCTCTCTGCAGGTTGTGGTCAAACTGTTTGTGCTAAAGATTGTGAAAACCTACTTGGGCTCGTTGTCTGAGCTCACTGAAATTTTCATTTATCTTCCAAGTCTTCTTTTCTACGGAAAAAAGCCACCCCATCGCCCACAAACCCACCTTCATTTGGAAAGCAGTGGCTTCCATGAGCCCCAAGTACTTTCTAGAGCCCTCTGACACTCTAAGGGCCTTGCTACACAAAGGCTTGACTCCCCCACTTCAGAGCTTGGGAGGTGAGATCGAAGAGAATTACTAAGGAAAAGAAAGCACTCGTTGAGATTTTTTCTCTGAAGAAGCCCCAGCATCCTCTTTACTTGGTTTGAGGTCCTGATCCTGAAGGGACCCCTGGAGACAGATCATCTAGTGGCTCCTTGTACTGACTAGGACTTGCCATTAGGCACGAGGGCTGTGTTGGGGCCCATCTGGTGCCCCTTAGGGAGGGAGGTGGCAGACTTTGAGCACTGGCTTTGAGCCCAATGGCCACGTTTACCCTTCTTAATAATCCAGGTGACAGAGGCACAGAGCAGTAAGCAATTCTGTAGCCATTACTCCACTCTACTCCCAGCGCCATGTCTGTTCTCTGGCACCATGCCATCCTGTCACTTGCCGCCGGCTACTTCCTTCCACCTCAGATGTACTTTACCTTCTCCTGGCTTCTCTGTGGTTCCAGGAGAAAGGCCGAAGTCCTTCAGGTCGGGCTGTGCACCATCAGGACCCCCACCCTTGGCATGTTGTGTGTTGCTTCCCCTGCTGGGAGTGGCTCCTCCAGATGGACAACCCCATAATTCCACGCGCGTAGGCGAACTTGCATGTTCTGCACATGCGCACGCACTGCCTCCAGCTTCCGTTCATGCGCAATCTGTGCTCTACCGTCACTTTCTCGCTGAGGCTCCTACATAGCTCCTCATCTCTAGTCTCAGCTGAGTCTTCTGCTTATCCCTCTTGTAGTTCCCTCTAGTATCCCTGCAACTGTCGCTGTGCACAGCTGTCATTCTGCAGCTAACTGCATGTGTGTGTGTGCAAGTGTGCACACACATGTGCATGCGTGTGTGTAGCCTCCCATGTCTCTTCTTTGCTGCTGTATGGCTGGTACCTGGCTCAGGACTCAGTGAAGGCCCTGCTACCTAGGCAGCAAGCACCCAAACTGGGTTCTTTGATTGATTGATTGATTGATTGATTGACTGATTGACTGCACTGATTTTATAAGACAGGCTCTCACTAGATTGCCCCAGCTGGCCTCAGACTTGATGTCCTCCTGCCTTAGGCTTCCGAGTTCTGGGATTACAAACATGCACCATCATGCCTAGCTGGATTCACTCTTACCCTGCATGTAAGTTCTAATAAACATGTCTATCTACACTTCTCTGTCAGCCATCAGGCCCTCAGCAACCAGATATGTTTGTCCTTGGGGCTCAGGATCTGGAGTCGGCTTCAATAGGCTTTAGCATTACCTTTGGCCCTCCTTGGACATCAGGGTCACCCTAGGTGACTCTGGAGCTGAGGAGCATTTTGTTACATTACCAACAATGGACAAGAGGGTCCTTTCTCACAGTCCCCCATAGGAGCCCAGTATCCCACTACCGCACAGAAGGGAAGGTGGCAGTGACTCTCCCAGGGGCCACAACCAGCTTGGCTGAAGAGAAAATATCAAAGAAGGGGCGCTCTCTCCTCACGGGTGCACATGTGTGGGAAGGACAGACGCGGGCTCTGGACATGAGTCTGGGCCACTTCTGCCATTTCCCAACACTGCTCGATGTGTCCTCCTGCCCGGCCCATGTTGGCATTCCCCAGCGCACATTCCACACCCACAGCTGTGGGGTTTTCCAGATGCTTCTGGTTCTTCACGGAGGCACTGTGCTTTTGTCTTGCTCCCTTTTGGACAGGAGTAAGCACCAGGTGTCTGATGAGGTTGGTGGGTAGGGCTGGTAGGAGTCATGGCTGCAGGGCGGGCAAGGGCTGCAGTCATGCCTCCTCTGATGGCTGCTGTCTGCCCTCTCCTCTTGGCTACAGCCTGTTCTCCAACTCCATCCCGGTGCAGCGGCACTCTCTGTGCACAGGCTCCAGCAGATAGCCCCCTTTTGCAGGAACAAAGGTCTAAATCTGAGAATAGCACAAGAATGCACTCCAGCCTTAGAGTAGGTGCGGCCCACCCACCCTCACAGGACTGTCAGCATGTCGCATCAACACAGAGCTTGCACTTCCTCTTGGATCACTTGGCTTGGACAGAATTTCTCTCCAGTTGGGGCTTCCCACTGTGACTCTACCAACATTCCAGGCAGGACCATTCTGGAAGGTGGGGACTGTCCAGTGCATCAGAGGACGCAGAGCAGTGTCCTTGGCCTCTGCATACCAGATACCAGAAGCAGCCCCCTTACCAGCTTTGTCAACCCAAAATGTTCCTAATGATCCCACTGGGATCAAAATCACCACTCTCAGGGAATCTGTGTCCTGTCATCTGCCACATCTATGACATATGCCCTGAAGATGGGGAGATCATCCCTGGACTCTGTGCCAGCCAATAAATGTGACCTGTGATTGCTGCTTGTACCAGGGTGCCCTCAAGCCTATGAACTGCTCTGTTGAGCTATGGCTTCGAGGCACTTCATGCAGCGGCAGCCCAGCCCTCTGTCCACCTGGGAGCCCCAGGGCTTCTGGGCAGCTCCCACTCTCCCAGGGGCTGCACAAGATTGACTGCTGTGCAGGACAGGAAGTGAGCTATGCGGGCTCCCACCCCTGGTCTGCCCCTTACCACCCTCTTGGACTGCTATGTCCTCCTCTGCCACATAAGGTCAGTCAGAACACGAAGCTTCCAGCAACTTGGGGAAGGAGTGACGCCAAAGAGATAACACGAGAAGCTCTTGGCAGAGCATGCGTAGCAAACACTAGCGTCATTGCTATTAATTTAATGGCACCAGAAGAAGAAACCAGGAAGTATGCAGGTGCCGGCTCTCCCCGCCCAGGCTCTCAGGGCAGGGGGCATGCAAAGCCTCTGAGGTCTCTGATGCGGTTGCGTAGAAAGCACTCAGACGCTAGCTGTTCCTGATCTGTAGGTGGACGAGGAGGGTGCGAAAGGAGGAGAAAATGCCTTTTCCCCTCTGTAGGGCTTCCTGGGGACTGGCTGGCCTGGCAAGCCTGGGCTGAGGTTGTGAGCTTCCCGAGGAAAGACCTGGCTGGAAGCCCAGGAGCAGTGGAAGCCACGGAGACAGCCAGGATCCGAATGGAAAGCTGCAGGGCCCCTGTGGAGTAGACTCCTTGTGGGACCAACGCAGGGGTCAGCCCTGCCACTTTCTTTTCTGTGAGGGGCTGCACAGGACCGGGCTCTGGTGTGGGTCAGTGACTTGCAGGGTGGGGGTGCCCCATGTGCCCCCCTGTCATGTTTTGAGGGAAAGCTCAGCTCCCCACTTGTAAGGTAAGACCAGGGCAGTACCAGGAAGGCACAGGAGGGACACAGGGACAGAGCTGCAGCCAGGGCCAGCCTAGGCTGACTTCTCTTCATCACTGCCTTCTTCTTCCCCGGCCTCCTCTCCTTCCTCTTCCTCCTCATCAGCCTCCAAACTTAGTTTCTTTGGCTGAGGAAAAATAAGGCACATGTTGGTGGGGGGCAGGGCTTCTCCATTCCCCAGAGGCGGATCTCACATGGCTGAAAGCAGCCCACTGCCTGAGGCCCAGAGAGCCAAGTGGCCTGGTGGCACCAGGTCCAGGCTGGTGAGGCCCCAGAGGATGCTCAGTGCCAGCAGGGCAGAAAGTGGGCAGGGCCTAGGGAATGGACAGTCCAGCCTCTGCTGTGTATAGACTAGGTGGCCTTGGGCCAGCTTTTCCTGCTCCTGGGCACCTTTCCATAAGGCAGACATGACACATTGCAGGACTGGGCTAGAATTAGGGTCACCGGGCTTAAGCATAGAAGGAGGACTGTGGCAGACAGCTAGGGCTATATCTTCCGAGGCCCAGTTTCCTCATTTAGAATATTTGAGCAGATGTAGCTCAGCAGTACAGCATTGCCTACCATGTGCAAGGCCTTGGATTCCACTCCTAGCACTGTAAAGTAAAATAAAATAATACAAAGCCCCAAGCTATTGCGAGCAGCACATTTTGGGAGGCAAGGCACCAAGCACAGAGTCTGTAGGCCACACCATGCCACAAAAGGTGGCCAAGGTCACCTTTGACTTCTGGCTGAGCAAGAGGTAATGGGTGGGAGGAACCCTGGGCTGCCCCGAGCCGGGACTCTCCTCTCCCCTCTGCACCGCTGGCACTGCTCAGAGTGTGGGAATAAAGCTGCCACTATCCTAGAACTTCCAAATGCACCATGCACCAAAACGACACCCAGTCCTTTGGGCCAGAGGGTGGGATCGCCAGGGAAGCCAGCGATCTCCTCTGGTCCCCTTATCCCAATCAGTGACCAAGAACAGGCCCTGACGCTCATCCTCAAAACCGGGCTGGCTACCTGGGGCACTGTCCCCCGTGGCCACCCAGGGCCAGTGCCTAGAAGGACACACACTGGGTGTTAGCTGTGCTGTCCTCATCTTGGAATTCTAAGTTGGCACAAACAGCCCCACGGCTTTATTTTACACCCCCTCCTCCTTGTGAGGCCAGCCTGGCTTAGAAGGTGGATGCTGGAGTCACCGGGCTTGGCCATTTCCCTGCCTCAGGCAGAGGGTCTAGTCAGCGTCACACCAGGGCAGGGACTGAGAGCCAGGGACACGCAAACGCCACACTCCTGTCCTCCCGGATCTCCAGGCTCTCGCTCCTTGCGCAGCTCGCTTACCCCCAGGGCCTTCAGGCAGACGGGACCGCGCATGCTCAAATGCACCTGCCTCGTATGCGAGGGCAGCACGCCAGAAGGCGCGGGGCACCGCCTCTGCCCTGGAGGAGCCCAAGGTCTGCTTGGAGACAGGACTTCGTGAGGGGCAGTGAGTAAGTCCTCTCACTAGAATGAGGACACCCGGGAGGTCACCCAGCAGGGGACATCCGGCTGCCTGCGATCTCCCAGCCCCCAGCCCTCTGCCCACCGGTGCCCGCTGAGGGCCCTACAGCTTTTGCCTTCTTCTCCAAGGCCTCCGCCTCCTCCTTCTTCAGCTCCGCGAAGATGATGTCGAAGAACTCCTTCTCAGCCTTGGCCACCATCTCCTCCAGGTTCGTGGCCAGCTCCTCATCCCTCTGGTCCTCGTCCTTGCCCTCCGCCTTGCCTTTCTCCTTCAGCCTCATCTCCTTCTGCCTGGCCTCCAGGATCTTCTCCCGCCGGGTCTCCCGCTCAAATATCTGCGCCACAGAGGGACAGAGGCCGGGGGAGGGCTGGGTAGTGAGCGACTCCAGCACGAGGCCAGGTTGCTTAGTTCTCCCTGCTCTATTCAAAGAGGTCTTTGCAGGAGACCGCGGCTCAACCGCAGCACCACGTGCAGCACTGGAGTCTGCACCCAGGGCTGGTGAAGAGAGGGAGGGCAGAGTATTGGCATTAGGGGTTGGGGCAGCCAGGACACCATTCCACGGAACACCAAGCACACAGGCCTTTGTAGTTAGACAACATGGTGGCCCTGGCCTGTGCCCCTCACTCCAGCTCTGGGGTGAGACCGCCTTTCTCAGGCAGAGCTGGGAAAGCCCTCCCAGACCTCAGCACCAGAGCTTTCCATTCCATGGTGTGCACCAGGCACTGGGGAGTGTGTGCCAGGGCCGCTGGGGAGGGGGGTGGGATATGGCAGTGGCCCTCAGTGTCCCTGCCTCAGGGCAAGCCCTTCCACCTGTCTTCCCCATTGGCATCTCTGGATGGTTCTGGTGCAGACATATCGTGTTGTGTGCCATTGGGTACACACTCGATTTGCAGTTGGAAAATCAAAGCCTATGGGGAAAGTTTGACTTGCCTGAGGCCACTGAACTGCAGAGTACTGAGCAAGGCAGGTGAAGCCAGCTAACACCCGTCCACGGAGCTCACACTTTAGGACACCCTGCAGCCCCATCAAATATGTGCACCCATATCCAGGGGTTGGAAGGAGGGGACATGGGCATCTCTCTGGCTAGGCTGCTCTGAGCTGGGGCCAGGTCTGGACATGTGCGGCGTGGTCCCTGTGGTGGTGCTGGTGCTTACGGAAGAAGCTATGTTCTTCTCATTCCTCTGGAGGGTGGAGAGCCCACTGGACACTTCCAGCAAGGTAGTTGTCCCCCGCTGGGAACCACAAGCAATGAGACAGCCGTTGTCCTGCACCCGGAGGCAGAAGAGGGCCTCGTCACACACCTGTTGGGCGGTCCAAGCAGACCCAGGGCAGGGACAAAGTCATATTTAATTAACTGGCATCTGGGGAGCCTTAGCCCCTTCACCTTGCTCAAATACCATGACATCCTGCACCAGGGAAATAAATAAGAATACAAAGAAAAAAAAATACCATGACAACCCCTGCACCCCATAAAGTGAAGGTCAAACTCAGAGACTGGCTGTCTAAGCTCTAGCCTTAGCCCCTGCTTCATTCCAGTCCCCTCTGTCTGTGGACTCCCACACCTCATGGGCTGCCATGGGCCCTGCCGTGGCTTTGCCAACAGGAATGCAGGCTGGGAGGCTCAGCTGCTTGGAGCACCTGTGCAAGGGCCTGAAGGGATGCACCTGGGGGCAGAGGAGCTGCGCATCTGCTTTCTTTTCTGCTTTAATTTCCTGGGGTAACTCTGCCATACCACTAGAGCGCCAAGTCCCCTTGACCCTGCAGGAGCACAGGTGCTTGAGGCAGGAGCTACAGTCGCCCAGTGTGTCACTTACCTAGAGAAGCCCTGGCACAGATGCACCCAGGCACGCACAGCATAGCACACACCCTCACACCATGCCGCATTCGCACCAGCCCCATTCTTGTACAGGAAGGGAGATGCACGTGACCTTCAGGCTGAGGGCAGGGTCAGAATGCTTGAACATAACGTCCCAGATGTCCAGAGTCCCATCCATCTTGGTGGTGAAGAACACCGCTGGCCTCACGGGGCTCCAGGCACCATCCGTGAGATAAGCCATGTGGTACCTGTGGGAGCCCATTCCTTGGGTCACATCTTTCTTAGGTTTAGCTTCCAGCCTTAGGGCTCTGGATATGACATTTCCCATGGGCCCAGCCCCTGGACACATGGAAGCCATCAGAGGAAGGGGATGTCCAGGAAAGTGTAACTCTGATATCGGGGAGGGATACACTTTCTACTTGGTTTGGTTTGGATTTCCTAACACTTCGTGAATACTGAACATTAAAGCGCACACACACACACACACACACACACACACACACACACACACACTGCATGCAAGTGTAGTCATGCAAATGTAGGGACTGAATTTTCCACCAAACTTTATCCTCCTTTACCCCAGAGTAGTATAATTATAGCCATGGTAGTCACACCAGAAACTACATTTCCCAGCTTCCTTTGCAACTGTATGGCTAGCTAAGCTACGGTGGGAGAAAGGATCAATATCACAGAGACACTCTGGAGAATTTTGACAAACAAATAATTTTTAAAATACGTATATCCCAGATATTGCATGGGACATAGTTATACTAAAAAAAATTCATTATTTTCTCAGAAATGCAAATTGAACTAGGGATCCTATATTTCTCTTTACTGAACTTTACAGCTGGACCTGCAGAGGTTCTAACCTGGCCCCCTCTGAGGATCTCCCTCCTCTATCCCCAGCCAGTCCCTTGTCCCTCCCTTACTTGGTCCACATGATAGATGACTCCCGGCTGTCTTCAGACCAGATGCGGGCTGTCCAGTCCCCAACTGTCAGGAAGTTCTTTGGGTAGAACGGGTTTCTCTGGAGGGCGTAGATGGGGCCGTGATGGCCCGAGAATGTGCACACAATCTTCTCAGCCGGCGTCTTGGCCTTGCGGTTGCAGGAGATGACGATGCCCTGCTCGGTGCCCACCATGAACTTCGTTGGCTGCAGAGGAGGGGCAGGCATGGGAGGAGCCATGCAACACCAACTCTGGGCTTGGCTGGTGCAGCCAGCAGCCTGTCCGGGGTCGGCAGTGCCAGCAGACCCCTTGTCCTAAGCTCTGCTCAGACTGTATAGCCCACAAAAGAGCTGTCCCCACTTTCCCCAGCCTCAGAAGACACCTGCCCGCTGCTTTGAGGAACTTGTTTAATGAATCCCTACTGGATTCTTCTGGTCTCTGGAGGACATCAGGAACCCCATAAAGATCCCAAATGTTTACAGACAGAGTAAACAAGCCCAGATGTGGACGGGGTATGAACCCGGTCACTTAGGAGGCAGGCAGAGTCTAGACTGACTCGATAGTGACATTCACCCTAGCCCTGTCCACAGAGAACTCAGAGCAGGTGGCTACCCAATACTCAGGAAGGCATCTGGAGCCAGGTGGGAGGGCTCTCGGGCTGAGGTCCCTAGCCAGACAGATTGGATGTACAGTAGTCAGCCAAGAAGGTTCTGGGGCACCCTCAGCCTCTGGCACCTAGTGGTCTCTGCCACTCCTTCAAGTGCACAGGCACACTGTTGGGGTGCGCTGGGGGGGCTGTCCTTGCCTAGTGTGCTTTCTGTCCAGCCATCTTCTCAGTGCGTTCTCACCACCTTCAGGACTTTGCTCACCTCTCACCTCCCCAGGCTGCTCTGTCCCTTGAACCACCCCCTGCTCCCAGAGCGCCTACTCTGCCCTCCATTTCTGTTTCTATAGCTCCCACCAGCATCTGGCACAGGGATTTCCTGGGTTTGCTGCGCACCCCACAACAGGAAGTCAAGCTCCTTGGCCTCTTTGGAATAGTGCTTAGTGTGAGTAGAGTTGTGAAAGGAATTTGTGGATAACTTGAAACTTGGCTCGGGAAGACTGCCCACCACCAGGCCCCTCTGACTCCCCCATACCCCACTCCTCTCTGGGAGAGGATGCAAGGCCTGGAGGATACCAGCCAGGGAGGGGCACACCCCTTCCAAAAGTCCTTGCAAAATTGGGCAACAGTGTATGCCCATATTCATAACAGAATTAGCCACACATAGCCCAAAGGTGGAAGCAACCCAAGTGTCTCTGGACAGATAAGTGGATAGACACAACGCGGTCCATGTGTATAATGAAATAGAATTCAGTTATCAAAAGGAAGAGAATTCTTTACACATGTTCTAACATGGAAGAACCTTAAGGGCATTATGCGTAAGGCAATTAAACCAGTCACAAAAAAGACAAGTATTCTATAACTCACTTTATAACAGGTTCCTAAAATAGCCAGACTCAAAGAAGCAGGAAATAGACAGCCAGTTGCCAGGGGCGAAGGTGGAAGGCAATGGGAAGTTGTTCAATGAGGAGAGTGGTTCAGTTTTGCAAGATGAAAAATGTTCTGAGTCAGGTGTGGTGGTGTACACCTGTAGTCCCAGCACCCTGGGGGCTGAGGCAGATTTCCAAGTTTGAGGCCAGCCTGGTTTAGCAAGATTCTGTCTCAAAATAATAATAAAAAAATAAAAAAGGGCTGGGAATGTAGCTTGGTATGAAAACCCTGAGTTCAATGCCCAGTGCCACACACACACACACACACACACACATACACACACACACACACACACTTCTGGAGATGAATGATTGTAATGGTTACACAACAATGAGAATATATTGAACACTACTGAACTGAATACTTTAATGCAGTTAAAATGATAGCTTTTGTATGTTTTTTGAACTTTTTTTAAAAAATGTATTTGGTATAGGGTCTCACTGTGCAGGTCGGACTCGTGAACAGCTCCTCCTGTTTTCAGCTTCCCCAGCACTGGGATTACAGGTGTGTACCACCATACCTGGTCTCCATGGCCAGCTTAGCACACCTGGGGGTGGGGCTGGCATAGCGTGTGGTACCTGGGATCGAACCCCAGTCCCTGCGCTTACCTAAGCAGGTGCTTAGTCCAGTGAGCTATCTCACTGACCATAACTATAATTTAAAAAGCATATGAAATCTAGAGAGGTAGCTCAGTGCACAGGCCCTGGGTCCCATCCTCTTCACCACACACAGGGAAGGAGGGCAGAGGAGAGAACGGAGGGAAAGGGGAGGAGGGAGGGAGGGAGGGGAGCGAGGGAGGCAAGGAGGGAAGCCCACACACAAATAAACCACAGAGTTGTGTGTCAAAGGCGAAGGAGGAGATCAGACTTGAGCACTGAGCCATCAGGCGAGCCCCCGGGCCCCTGCACATCAGCTTTCCCAGGAGGAGAGCCACGCAGACTCACAAGGCTGAGAACATCTCATGCCACAGGCTTCCTGGAGGGGTGGGAGTTTGGATCTAACTTCACCCTGTGCTGGGGCACGAACTTAGCCTCACTGGCCTTCACCCTAGGTATGTGGAAAGTGGGGACAAAATATTACCCCACGTGGTGGGTGCCTGTCACCACACAGGCTCCTCACACTGTGGTATCTACAAGTGTCCAGCACATTGTGTACACTCAGCAAGAGACACACAAGAAGTAGTGAGGACTCACCATGGCGTGGTCATTACAGCCACCACATAGCCTGGGACAGCACACAGGTCAGAAATGTTTTTCTTTTTCTTTTCCTTTCTTTCTTTCTTTTTCTTTTCTTTTCTTTTCTTTTTTCTTTTGTATTTTAGGGAAGGGTCTACAGGGTGTTCAGGCTGAAGTTAGACCCAAACTCACTACTAGATTAGACTCATAGTGACCTGCCTCTCTACAGTCTCCCAAGAGCTGGGATTACAGGCGCACGCCACCACGCCCAGTCTCAATAGCTGTCTCAGCGTGCCCCAGGGGTGCACCTGCTGGATCAAACCCCAGCCCTGCACCTGCTTGCAGGTGCTTTAACCCACTGAGGTATCTGGCCAGGCCTCAGAATGCTTTTCCAACTCCCACCCCTACCTCAGGCTCCACCCAGTGTCTTGGCAAAGGTTGGGGGGGCTCAACTGAATTATGTTCCCTCAACCTACCAGCATTCGTTCCCCAGCCTTCGATGAAGACACTCAGGCTCCAGCTCCCAACATCTTAGTAATGATGTCACATGATCCCAAGGCAATGAGTGACATCCCTGCTTGGGGACCAGGCCTCGGGTTCAATAAGATATCCACCTCAGGCCAAGGACCAGCTGGAAAAGTTCTTGCCTTGCATTACAGAGGGAGTTTTCATTTGCTGCTTCTAGTTTTTCTCCTCCGACACACTAACATTATTGCTCAATATGGAGATTCTCTTGTTTTTTCTTAGTTACTAAATTCATGCCTGTGCCCTGGTTTTTCAAGAAGCCTCCTTAGATCTCCTTTCTACCCCCAACACTTCCTTTCTTCCTCCACAGAAAGGGAAGTGACCAGCCCTAGGCCCTGTAGGAAGCAGGGGCAGCCTGGTCCCGGCTCTCTGTCTTTTCACCTGCGGTGGCTTGCCAAGTGACAGACTGCAGAGGACAGTGGGTTCCTTCCTCAAGGAGCTCTGCTGCCCCCTGCTGGAGGAGTGCTGTAAGCGCTTGCCACACTAGCCTTGGCCTGTCCGCGCCCTGGCAAGGAAAGTTGAGGAAGGGACAGCAAGAAGCCCTCACCAAGGTAGACTCAAACTCCAGGGAGATGGCCCCCAGGGCATTTTCCAGCTGCTCCTTCTTGGTGATGTCCAGGATAACCACCTCGGTGGGCTCACTTATCTTGCGGATGTCCCACCACATGACCTAGTGGGAAGCAGAGGGGACTGAGCCCTTGAGGTCCCGCGGCTCCCCTGGCTTTTGTCCCTCACCCACCTATGAAAACGAACACATGTTGAGGTTCCCTGTTGGGAGACTCAGCTCCTAAACCTGGCTGGTCAGCAGCGTCCCTGGCAAGCTGCCTAAAATCCAGATGCTGGGACCTCATGTCAACCTTAATGGATCCAAATCACCAGGTACCCAAACCAACCCAACCCAAAGTCTGGACTCTTCCGACTCTTCCCATGTAGAAGTATTTAAAAATGTGAAAAAAAAATGGACACACACTTTGACCTAAAGACTCTACCACAGGGGTGTGACTTATAGATGTTCCTGCATGTGTATGCTATAATCTATATACAAGTACACTCTTGTTATACTTTTTCTAATAAGAAAATATAAAATCCATTTAAATAAATTATGGGCTGGAGAGATAGCTTGGTGGTCTAAGTGTCTGCCTGGCAAGTGCAAAGACCCGTGTTTGATCCCCAGTACTGCATGCTGTGCTGGTCCCGTGCATGCCAGCCATCTAAACCTGTAATCCCAGCTCTGGAGAGGCTGAGACAGGAAGAGCGCTGTGAGTCCAAGCTGTATACCAAGAGTGTACCAAATAAATAAATCTTTTTTTAAAAATTATGATATGTCCATACCTTTCAGTAGAAGGCATTGGGCAGTGGTTATTAAAAATGAAAAACTATCTCTGAGATATATTAAAGTATAAAGTATACCAAAAAAAGTGTAGAAGAGAGATATATGCTTGCTTGAATAGGTAGAGAAGGTAGAGGGAGGAAATTAACTCCACTCCTCAGGTAGAAGCAGGTGAGTTGGGCAGATGAGAGGGAGGTATTTCACTCTGCCCTTCTGCACTTTTGAGATTTTGCCCCCCACATGAATGTTTTATCCAATGTTAATGTAAGAAGAAAGCTTCCCGCAGTAATCCTGATGAGAACAGGAAGTACACACGCCCTCTCTGGCTCTGCCCCCGGGGACCTGGCTGGGTGGTACCTGCCCATCGGTGGAGGCTGAGAAGCACTCGGTGCCCGTCTTTGACTGCAGCCAGATAGAGCCGTACACAGGGTCCCGATGGCTGAACTCGATGGTGGAGAGCTCTGCTACCAGGCTGCCCTTCCGGGTGTCCCAGCAGGCTGACGGGGAAGGACATAGTAGGGGGTGGAGGGAGCAACAGGGGCGGAGGGCTGTTGCTTCTCTGGGTGTGAAGGGTTTTGTAGTAACAGTAAATTCGAGCCGGCCCCCAAGAAATCTCTAGAGACACTCCTAAAAAGCAAGCTTTTTCCATCACAGCCCTACTGTGTTGTGTCACCCTGGATCCCCCGGAAGCCCCTGGGGACAGAGCAGGCTCTGCCACGGGGAGGCTGGAGGGCTCTGGCAAGAACAGCCTGGCGTGTGGCTGCTGCTGCAGAGGGGAGGTGACCGAGGCTAAGCTGTGGTCCTGTGAGCCTGGGGATGCAGTGAGCCGGGTAGAGAGGACAGTTGAGGCTCCGTCCTAGGGCAAAGCCTGGGACTTTTTGCTCCGTCCCAGTACAAAAAGCTCCTTGAGGCGAAGACGGACATTGGGGCAGAGCTGCCTGTTGCAGCCACTCCCTCCCTTTTCTCCTCTGCCTCCAGAAAGCGCCCCAGGAGGAGCCAGACCCTGGGTCGGGGTGACGTTCTCTGCTCTCGGGGCTGCTCGGTGGGTGTTCCCCTTTCCCCTGAGTGCGCACGGAGGCCCCGCCCTCTCACGCACAGCCCCTTCCAGGAAGGCTGGCTTTGTGAAGCAAAGAAGTACTGAGTTCCTAAGCTTTGACTTAATATCCCTCAAGTGCTGGGCGTACTCTTGTGCTTTCCCTGCTCAGCTGGCTGTGTTTGGTAACGCACGCTCCCGCGCGGGCACCACGAGCCCTGGATGCTCCTGCTGGGCCCCTTCTGGCAGCAGCAGGGCCACCCCCAGCCGCTGCGAGCCGAGCCGCGCCGCGCAAAGCCACTGAAAGGAGTTATGAATAATGAGTGTGGCAGAGTCCTGAATAAATCATGGCCCAGGCGCTGGGGCGGCCTTGAGTGCGCGGGCACCCAGCAGTCTCCAGCGAGAGCTGGTGTGTAGTCCCCAGCCCGAGAGCTCCCCTGGGAGGAGGCAGCCGGTGTGGGAGGGAGACCGGCCTGAGTCTGAACGTCTCTCCTGGCTCCTACTCCTGAAGACGAAGGGAAGTAGTAGAAAGGCTCGGCAGAGAGAATGGGGACCCCCCTTCTGAGCCTGCGGCAGTTAATGTGTGTTACACTGGGTTGGCTTGCGACACACGAGGAGACTAGTAGAACGCGCTTCCGCGTGTCTGCCGGGCTCAAGGGACTCTATCTGGCCCTTGGCGGCCTCCTGTCTGTCTTGTTTTTTTTTTTTTTTTTTAATTTATTTGTTTATTTGTGTGTGTGTGTGTGTGTGTGTGTGTGTGTGGCCAGCTCAGCCCACCAGGGGGCAGGGCTGGCTGGCATGTGGTGCTGGGGGATTGAACCGCTGTCCCCGTGCATTGCTAAGCTTGTTCTAAGTAGGTGCTTTAGACCACTGAGCCATCTCACCAGCCCCTGTCTGTCTCTTCTTTCTGCTTCTGGCTGCAATGGATGGGGCAGCGTTGCTATGCTCGTTCTACTTTGGAGTCAGCCATCCATGGACCAAACCTCTCTTCTTTTAAACTGTGTGTGCCTGGTACCTTGTCCCAGAAACAGAAAACAGAAAGGTGACAATTCCTCAAGTGTGAGGATTGAGAGGCTGCTAATTTCTGGGCTGAGGATAGAGGTCAGGCAGATTTTTTTTTTTATCATGCCATTTATTTATTTATTTATTTATTTTCTTTTTTGAGACAGGATCTTGCTATATAGCCCAGGCTGGCCTTGAACTTGGGGTGATCGTCCTGCCTCAGCCTTCTGAGTGCTAGAATTACAAGAATGTGCCACTATGCCAAGTTTCACTAAGAATGTTTAGGAGCCGGCGAGATAGTTCTGTGGCCTAAAGTGCCTGCTTTGGCAAGCTTGGACAAGCACACAGGGACCGTGGTTCCACCCCCAACACCCCAGGGCAGGCAGAGCAGGCCACACAAAATATATATATTATTTTTAAAATAAGTTTTCCAGGTGGGCCATCAACAAAACAGCAGAAGAAGCGCTTTCCCAGATTCTCCACCACAATCATAAAACTGGCAAGAACAGTCAGAATCCATTTTCTCAGAATTCTGGAAACTAGCCAAAGGCTCATAGCAGCCTGGAGAGTTTTCAAGAAAAATAGCTGAATCTTGGTGAAAGCAACGACTCTTGTCCCTGCGGCACCTCAACCTCCCCTGGCTAAGATGTATGTGTCGCAGTTCCATGGTAGCTAGAAAAGTAACATCCCAGCCCGGCATTGTATGTACCTATAATCACAGCATTCTGGGAGGCTGAGGCAGGAGGACTGCAAGTTTGAGGCCAGCCTGGGTAACTTAGTGACTTGCTAAGAGCCTGCCTCAAAATTAAAAACATAAGGGCTAAACCAAGCATAGTTACACAGACCCATAACCCCAGCTTTCAGCAGGCCAAAGCAGGAGGATCATTGTGAGTTCAAGGCTTGTCTGGGTTACAAAGTTAGGTTCAAGGCCAACCTGAATTACATAGTGAGACCCTGATTCAAAAATAAAAGAGAATAAATAAATCAATTTTAAAAGGCTGGGGATGTAGTTCAGCGTGAAGACCATCAGCTTGATCCCTACTGTTGTGTGTGGGGGGGAACCACTGAAAAGAAAAGTGACACTGCCCGCATGGAGCAGTGTGGCAGCTGTGGAAGGAGCAGAGGGCATTGGATGAGCCCTTCCAAATCCAAGACCAAAGTCTGCCGCACTTGGCCTGTCTGATGGCTCCTGGAAAGTTGTCTGTCCCTGACCTGGCTCACAGTTTGCTCAGTACAAAAGTCTTTTCCCCCAGGGCACAGCTGTGGCAACTGAGGCCAACAGCAGGGGGCATCATGGGGGGGGCGGGTAGCGGCCGTCTACAGGGGCCTGGAGAAGCTGGGCATCTAGAGACCCTGCCTGGGTCAGAGATGTCACTGCCCAGCATGGTGTCACCCTCAGACAGGGCAGCTACAGAACGCTCTTCTCGGAGGACAGGAGGGACACTCTCCAGGAGGGACAGCGTGCTTAGCCGCAAAAGAAGCCCAACACGTATAAGATATCTGAAGCCATGTAAAGCAGCTTTTCTGAGCAAAATAGAACAAAACTTGAAATCAGTAAAGGAAAACTGGAAGATGCCCAAATAGCTGGAAACAAAACATGCATCTTTAAGAACCCTTGGGGGGCCGGGGAGATGGCTCAGTGGAATAAGTGCTTCCCTGGCAAGCACAAGGGCCTGAGTTCAATCTCCAGTTCCGCCAAGAAGTTCTTACTAGGGCCAGGAAGATGGCTCAGTGGAATAAGTGCTTCCCTGGCAAGCTCAAGGGCCTGAGTTCAATCCCTGGTTCCACCAAAAAAAAAAAGAAACTTTGGATCAAAAAAGAAAGCAGGGCTGGTGAGATGGCTCAGTGGTCTAAAGCACTTACTTAGAACAAGCTTAGCAAAGCACAGGGACCGCGGTTCAATCCCCCAGCACCACATGCCAGCCAGCCCCGCCCCCAGGTGGGCTGAGCTGGCCACACACACACACACACACACACACACACACACAAATAAATAAATAAAATTTAAAAAAAAAAAAAGAAAGAAAGCAGACAAGAAACCACTTGAATGAAGGAGCATGAAAACACAGCAAACCAAAAGGTGTGAGCGCAGGTAATGCGGTGCAGAGAGGGGAAATTCACTATATTAAACAAAACAAAAACAAACAAACAAGGACTGAGCCACAACTGGGTGGTCCAGGCCTTGCCTCCTACCCACCAGACCCTCAGTTTGGTCCTCAGGGCCGCAAAGACAAAGAAAAACAAAAAAAAAAAAAAACAAACAAGCCAAACAAAAAACTGTTCTAACCTTCCACTTTAAGAAAGGAGAAGCTGGGCTTGGTGGCCCATGCCTGTAATCCAGCACTCAGGAGGCTGAGGTAGGAGGATCATTGGGAGTTCGAGACCAACCTGGGCTACCAAGTGAGCTCAAGGCCAGCCTGAACTGCACAGTGAGACCCGGTCTCAAGACCAAAAAAAAGTAAAAGAAATGCGGAAAAGATGAATAAATTAAACCCCAAGCCTGCAGAAGGGAAGAAATAATAAAGATTAGAGTGCAAAATAAATGAAACTTAAAGTGTTTTAAAAATCAGAGAAAAACAATAAAGTGAAAAGTTGGTTCTCGAGAAACAAAATTGACAAGCATCTAGCTAGACTGACAGGAAAGGGAGGGAAGAGAAGAGAAGATTCAAATTACTAAAACCAGGAACAAAATAGAAGACAGTCTGGGGGTGGTGGCGCACGCCTGTAATCGCAGCACTAGGGAGGCAGAAATCAGGAGGATCAGTATGAATCCAAGCTGTGTAGAGAGACTCTGCGTACACACACACACACACACACACACACACACACACACACACACACTAGACACGACCACCAGCTTTGCAGAAACAAAAACGATTGCAAAAGAATGCCATGAACAATGGCATGTCAACAAACCGCATAATCTAGATGAAATGCTTAATCCCCAGAAAGACAGAGACTGCCGAAATAGATTCAGCAGAAATAGAAAATCTGAAGAGGTCTATAGTGAGTGAAGAAACTGAATTAGTAATTCTAAAGCTTGCCACCCACACGAAAAAGCCAAAGCCAGGTATCACGATGTGTAAGCCCAGCTACTCCAGAGGCTGAGGCAGGAGAAAGAGACTAGAAGAAAGGAAGAGGAAGGGAGGAAGGGAGGAAGGAAAAAGGAAGGAAGTAGAATGGTACAACCTGTGGAAATGTGTGTGGAGATTCCTCAGAAATTTAGGATTAGAAGCCCCATTCAACCCAGCTATTCCCTTTCTGCATATTTTTCTAGAAGAACTGAAAACATTGTACCACAATGACATATGTGCCCCCATGTTTACAGCAGCACAATTGGTCATGGCTTAATCTAGGAAACAACCCAAATGCCCATCAACTGAGGAGCAGATTAAAAAGACGCGGCATTTTTATACAATGGAGTATTATTCAGTTATAAAGAAAGAGAAACGTGAGGCCTTTATAGGTAAATGGATGCAAGTAGAGACCATACTCATAAATGAAATAAGTCAGGCCCACATGTACAAACATCATATTGTCTCCCTAGTGTACAAGCCTGAAAGAGTAAATAAAATCTGAAAAGTACAATAAATATAATAAAAGGGAAAGAAACTGCTCAAAAGGAATGAACAGGGCTGGGGAGATAGCTCAGTAGAATAGGCACTTGCCTGACAAGCGCAAGGGCCTGAGTTCAATCTCTGGTACCGCAAAAAAAAAAAAAAAGAATGAACAGTTGGCATGAAGGAAAGGAAAAAAAAAAAGAAAGAAAAGAAAGGGGAAAATCATGTATGCAAATATACAAGATAGCTAAGACGATTATACTATTAATTTCTATCTTTTTTTTTTATGTATTTGGTACAGGGGCTCACTATGCAGCTCGGACTCATAGTGCTCCTCCTGTTTTCAGCATCCCCAGTGCTGGGATTACAGGCATGCACCACCACGCCCCCAACTTGGTTGCCAGCTCAGCGCACCCAAGGACGGGGCTGGCGAGGCATGGGGTGTAAGGATCGAACCCTGGTCCCTGCATTTGCCTAAGCAGGCTCTTAGTCCACTGAGCTATCTCACCAGTGCGTCTATCAGTTTTTTTGAAAGTAGCAGTGAATGCTTAAAATTTTTATTTTGACCAATTTTACATGCTTGTATCTGGTAATCCGAGCAATTGCAATGAAGACAGCAATGGGCAATATAACTTTTTTTTTGCAGAACCGGGGATTGAACTCAGGCCTGTGCACTTGCCAGGCAAGCGCTTATTCTCCTGAGCCAGCTCCCTAACTATGCCATATAACAACCATTGTTGAATATCTATCATCTTGGTTTTTGTTTTTTAAACTGTATATCATTTCTAATGTCTTATCTGTATTTTTATTCTTTTAAAAAGGAAAGAAACAAAAAAAGAGAAAAGGAGAGAAAGGCAGCTATCAGACCAGATGGTTTTACTGGTGAACTCTTCCAGACACTAAAACAATACAAATTCTTGCAATAAAGCAAAAAGGGGGCTTCTTCTAGCTTCTCCTAGAGGGCCAATACCACTATACCCAATACCACATCGGTGTCCCCAGGCCTCTCCCAACATGGGGCTCCACAGTGGTCTCTCTCTGTGGCTATCCCTAGTCACATGGTCATTGGTTCTACTTGAACTATAGTGTTTAGGGACTTTTTATTTTGAACTAATGAAAATAAGCTTTGGACCGATCACAGCTGGAGGTCTCACAGTGTCAGCAGAACCCGACTCACAAACACCAGAATGGTCAGGGACAGAGAAGCCTACCAGCTCAGTCTGGCAGCTGGGCGAGCGCTGGGTGCCCCCTTACCTATCTGCCCATTGTAGCAGCCCCCCAGGATCACGTGCGAATCTTTGGGGTTATACTCCACGGTCACCAGTGGAGAAGATGGCTTCAGGGCCATTTCAGGCCTATTGGGGTTTTCTATAAAGCAGAGAAACAAAATGACTCCATCAGGCCTGGATAGAAAACCACAGGGTCAATCAGCTCAACTCTCCCAGGCAGGCAGGGTGGAAGCTCCTCTGGTCTTTCTCAAAAGTACCGAAGCCTGAATCTTCGCTTCATTTTGGGAATGGGGGTGGTGGTGAGTGTGCATGTTTAATGGTAGTTCTAGTCCATTTCCCAGGCTTGGTGTGAAAGGAGGTTCTGACCCAAAGGTTTTCACACCAGTCAGCTCTTCAGCAGCCTCCTCTCACCAGGTCTGAGACCTGGGAGTCCTGCTGGCATCCACCCTGGCATCCACCCTGGCGTCTACCCCAGGGTGCTGAGCTATGTGAGAGGAGAGTGTCAGTGCCAAGCTCAGGGCCATCCACTTCCTGTGCCAAAGGGACAGTGGAAGAAGGCTGAGAGTGCCGCCCTGCCGGCTCCTGCCTCACAGCAAGCCCTGTACAATGGTCTGGGCCTGTGGCTGGAGGCACTGCCCCACCAGCCACGGGTTATGGCAAGTGGCAGGAAAGGTGGGACAGGGCATGTGTTCCCTTCCCTCGTGCTTGGGCCCCTTCAAGTCCGCAGGGCATTGTTCTGATACAATCTGTAGGGATCCCATGGGCTCTGAGCTTAATGCTCCCAATTAAGAGTCAGGAGCTGGGGAGACAGGTATAGCTCAGGGATGCAGCACTTGCTGAGCATGTGCACGGCCCTCGGTTTAATCCCAAGTGTACTGGAAGCAGGCAGGAGAGAAGAGGGAAGAGGGAGGGGGAGGGAGGGAGGAAGGGAACGGAGGGAGGGAGGGGAAGGAAGGAGAAAGCAAAAGGGAGGGAAGAAGGGAAGGGAGGAAAGGGAGGGAGGGAGGTGGAGAAAGAGAGAGGGGGAGGGTGGGAGGGGGAGGGAGGGAAAGAGGGAGGAAGGAAAGAAAGGAACATCTGGGACTTGCTGCCCCATTCAGCTCCTCAGCCCACAGTGGCCCACGGGACCCCTATGCTCCTCACCCAGGTCCCAGACATACGAATCATGGCTCATGCCCATAGGTGCCCGCTGAAAATCCAAGCAAGAATATGCCACTGCCAACTTCCGGTTGCCATCAGGGTGCCAGGAGAGGTGAGTGGCCGTCCGTTTGATCTCTTGGGGATCCCTTTAAGGGGAGAGCAAGGAAGCAGGAGGCTGGAGGGTGGGGCTCCCCCGATTCTTTATTCATTAGGTTTTTGTCTTTAAAATATTCACACACTCATACACAATCCCCATACTCAGGGAGAGCTACTTATCAAACAAAGTTGACAAGACTCCCATCAGTGAAAAGCCAGCCTCACCAGCCATAAATAGAACAGAATCATAAACGATAAGACAGTGGTGGCAATAAAAAAGTTAAGTTCCAGGTGACACTCTGCCCTGCTGAAAATTCTCAAGCTGGGTGTGGTGGTGCATGCCTGTGATCCCAGCACTCAGGGAGACTGAGCAGGCGGAATATGAGTGGGAGGCGGCCTGGGCCATCCAGAGACTTAGCAAAGCCCTATCTCAAAACAAAAATTTTAAAAAGAATGAAGATGTGTTATATTTACATACCCACTTCCTTCCCCTGTAATCACATCATGTGTCATTATGTTCTGCGTACCAACAGGAAAATGAAATTAAATGTTAGAAAATAAAAAAAGAGCTAGGATGTAGCTTGGTGTGAAGACCCTGGCTTTAATCCTCATAATAAAAGGGAAAAGGGACATTTTGAGCCAGCGCTTGATCTTTTATGATGATTAGAATAAACAGAGGATGGGAACCAGTCACTACCCTTCTTGCTTGCTCGAATGCTTTAACAACTTCCGTCCACACAAAACCCTGTCCATGAATATTTATAGCGGCTTTATTCATAATTGCCAAGCCTTGGAAACGACCAAGGCACCCTCCGTCGTGGAGTGGGGAAGCCCTGGTACATCCAGAGCATGGACTATCGTTCAACACTGAAACACACCAGCAGCAAGCTCTGAAAAGACACGAGGAGACAAGTGCCTATTGTGAAGTGAAAGAAGCCAGCTGAAAGAGCCACACAGGGTCGGACACCAGCTCTGTGACATCTGGAAAAGGGAAAACTGGAGATGCTAAAAAGATCAGCCATTGCCAGGGGTTGTGGGGAGGGAGGGAGAAACAGGCAGAGCGCAGAGGGATTCTAAGGCAGTAAAACACCCTGTGCACCGCCGCTGTGGTGGACGCCTGTCATAATGCATTTGTCCCAACCCATGCACTACACTGCCCTAACAGTGAGCCTACTGGAAACTATGGACTCCAGATGGTGAGGACGTGTCCAGGCCTATCTGGCAGGAGCACAGGTAATGCAGGTTCTGTGTCCCGGAGTGGAGAAGGGGAGGGACATGTGGAACTCGCTGGACTTTCTGCTCAATCTTGCTGTGAGCCGAAAGCTACCCAAAGAACTGTAGTCTATTACTGTTGCAAAAAAGGAGGGAGGGGGTTAGCCCTGATGCCCCGTGGGAGTACCTGTGTGCCTACTGTGATGCCGGGTCCCCAGTGCGCCGTGCTGGACGCACCCTGCCCCTGCAGGAAGTGACCCTGCTGTGCATACCTGGGGGCCACGCATAGCCTCATCCCTGGAGCCTGTGCATCCTGCAGGGGCAGAACCCACATAGCTGGGCACCGAGTTCTTACTGTGCCCCTTGTCAAGCGTGGACACAGGGCACACAGCCCTCCCAGCCTGGAATGATCAGCAAAGGGTCCATTTTGAGGGTGGCCTTTTGGCCAGCCTCCTGCTCACCATAGAACTACCTGAAAACATTGATGGTTTTAGCGGAAGAGGCCTCTTCGGTCACCTCCACTTCTTCCTCATCGTCGAAATACTCCTCATAGATGTCGATGGCATTGTTCTGCTTGATGCAGTGCTCCATGATCTGGGGGCGGAGGAGACACGGGTCAGAAGCTCTCAGGGACAGAGAGAGGCCCTTCAGACTGAGCAGGGTCCGGATGGAGTGTGGGAGGGACAAGCGACACCTGCTGGATTCCTCTCATTTTGTATAGGCCACATATTTCCTTCCTTTTTTCCTTTTCCCTTCCTCTCTCCCTCTCTTGCTTTCAAGAACTAGGGACAGAACTCAGGGCCTTGTATGGGCCAGGCGAGCACCCCACCCCTGAGTTACACTCCCACCCCACAGCCCAGGCATTTTTCACTGTCGTGAAAGTAAGATAATAGTATACACAAAACCTCACTTGGAGACAGTCTACTACCTGAGAGATCCGGATTTCATGAAGGAGGAAGGTGACTAGGAAAAAGGTTTACAAAGGTTCTTGGGGAAGGGTCATAATTTTTAAAAGGCGGAAAAATGTTGCTGGAGCCAGACAGAATTGTTACTCCCTGCATGTTGTGGGCCCTGGGTCCTGCTGCCTGCCCTGCAGACACGAGGGCTGGCAGGGCAAGCGGAGGATCGAATCCCAGCCACTGCGCTCTGCCTAAGGAGATGCTTTAGTCCGCTGAGCTATCTGGCCAGCCCTAGGACTCTTTCAAGGTTTCCTTTGCCAGGGATTTCCCACCTTTTTGTCTCCTCCTAAGCCGCGTCCAGCTGCAGACCTCTGTGGCTGCAGCAGGATCTCCTTTCCCCCTGTATCCCCAAGAGCCTGCACTGGGCCAGCTGGGATGTGGCACAGCCTGGGGGACCTGGAGCGACCCGGAGGCTCCCACAGCTGGGGCTGGAGGAAGACTCACCACGCCAAGTTGCGTGATGGTGTTGATGTAGTTCTCGTCCTTTTCCACTTTCTTCCGGAAGCGGATTGTCTGCTCCAGCTCCAGGGGGTTCACGTCTTTGGGCCAGCCCCCCTCTATGTGGTTCACACCCCGGGTCTCCATCTCGAACCGCTCGGTGTTGGCCTAAACAGAGCCCCAGGGGTGAGAAAATCGCTGCGCTGGTGTAAGCAGCCAGCCACTTGTGCAAACCGGGATGGGCCCGCGAAGGACCTGGCCTGAGCCACAAAGCAAGAACAAGTTGGTCCTCAGGCGGTCACAGGCGGCCTCACAGCGCCCCCTTGTGGAGCTAATGCTTTACAATTCAATCCGGCGGTCACCGAAGCCCCAGCCCCTGCCCACTATCATACAGTCTTATTCCGCAATTACCTGGGTCACAAGGGCTCTAAGGGCACAACCTGGGTTCTAGAGAGCCCAAAAATAAAAGGGCACATGTCGAGCACCCCATCAAAGCAATGCTACAGATATCAGAACCCTAAAAACAACCCAGGACGGGGGTGGTGACACTTACCTGCCAGCACTTGGTGTGGCCAAGGCAAGAGGGTGGTTGCAAGTTCAAGGCCAGCTTGGGCAAACTACTGAGACCGCGTCTCAAAATATACAGTAGAGGGGCTGGGGATGCAGCTCAGAGGCACGGCGCCTGCCTGGCAAGCTCAAGAGCCTGAATTTGATTCCCAGTACAAAAGAAAATAAGTGCCAGTCAGATAGCTCAATGGATTAAAGTGCCTGCTTAGGCAGATCTGCAAAGGTCAGGGGTTTCAATCCCCAGCCTGCCATGCCAGCCCTGCCCCCAGGGTGCGCTGAGACAGCAATTGAGACTGGGGATGGTGGCGCGCCCTTGTAATCCGAGTGCTTGGGAGGCTGAAAAACAGGAGGATCCCTACGAGTCCAATCTGTGTAGTGAGACCCTGAAGACCCTGTACTAAATACAAAAAAGAAAAGAAAAATATATAGTAAAAAGGGTTGGCGATATAGCTCATAGCTCAGTGAAGGCTTTGAGTTCAATCCCGAGTGCCAAAAACAAAACAAAATAAGATAAAAATGCAACTCAGTGGACAGTTGTATCCACTGAACTTGCCACTTTGCCTCCTTCCTACTTTTCTGGGCTTTAACAATGGTTCACCATCTTAAACATTTCAGGGCGTACCATTTGGTGGCATAATGGTGCAGCGTCTTTCAGCCACTACCTCTACCTAATTTCAATTTTTTATAACTGCATTTGGCACAGGGTCTCACTGTGCTGCTCAGAATCCTAGTGATCCTCCTGTTTTCAGGCTCCCCAGTGCTGGGATTACAGGTGTGCGCCACCACGCCTGGGCTCAGTGGCCAGCTCAGCACACCTGGGGCAGGCCAGCACAGCCTGTGGTGCCGGGGATCAAACCCCAGTCCCTGCGCTTGCCTAAGCAGATGCTTAGTCCACTGAGCTATCTCACCAGTCCCCTAGATCCAAAATTTTCATGACCCCCCCACATGGAAACCACAGACTCATTCAGCAGTTGCTCCTTTCTCTGTTTCATTTGGGACAAGGCTCTCTGGGCAGCCCAGGATGGCCTCACGCTGGCAACCTTCCTACCTCAGCCTCCCTAATGGCTGGAGCCACAGGCGTGAGCTACCACACCCAGCATCCCTTTCCACCTTTCCACCCGCTCCCCTAAAGTGAGCCATCTCACAAAGCAGGACTGGGACCCAAGGGCTTGTGTGGCACAGCCTCGGCAGCTGCCATTTTGCTTACAGCTGTGGTAAGAGAGGATTATCCTTCTCACAGACAGTAATTAGGCTAGAAGAACAAGAAGGGAATCCGAACCTCAAGTCACACCATCCACTTGCAATCCCCATGCAGTTGTGGACTGTTTTAGCTAAATCAAATGTGAACTTACCTCAGGTGATTTTGGGTAAGAGAAAATGGATTATCTGAATCCATCAAATTTTTTCTCACAGGATCTCTGGTCTCTGTTCTCACAGATAGGACCTTCCATTGTTTTGTCCTGGAGCCCCTGCCTGCCCTGAGGAACTTTCCAGGGGAAAGTCCTTTTTCCACCTGAGCTATTGCCTGTACAGATAAATCCTTGCTCTCCTCCAAACATGAGGTATGACTGAAAATACAGTGAATGTTAAATTTTTAAACATTTTATTACAGTAAAAGACACATCACCCGAATCCCCTCAAAATATTCCTCACGTTAAACACACTCATTCCTTTGTTCTAGGTACTTTCTGGAATCCTCTTTTTGTTTGTTCTTGTTGCTGGTTTTGAGACAGTGTCTTGCTATGTAGTTCAGGCTGGCCTCGAACTCATAGTGATCCTCCTGCCTCAGCCTCCTGAGTGCTGGGATCACAGGTATGCACCACCATGCCCAGATTTGGAATCCTCTTTGACAGCTTTAGTTGTGCTGTTGTAGCTTTCTTAATATCCTCAAGATTCCAGACATTTACTTTTTGTGGTTGTTTTGACTTTAAGGAAGGACCAGGAGTCAGCTGCACAGTGCCAGGCTGTGACAAGGATGCTGGGTGGTGACTTTCTGTTGGATTGCATGGGGCAGCAGCGTTCCCCATCGTCTTATTTTTAATCACACTCATAAAGACACTTGTGAAGGGTCGGAGAGCTAGCTCTGCGGACTAAGTGCCTGCTTAGGCAACCACAGGGACCCGGGTTCAATCCTCAGCACCACATGCCCACTAGTCCCGCCCCTGAGCATGCTGAGCCAGCTACTGAGACTGGGCATGAGAGCACACACCTGTAATCCCAGCACTGAGGAGACTGAAAACAGGAGGACTGCTAGGATTCTGAGGTGCCTAGTGAGACCCTATACCAAATGCATTAAAAAACAAAACAAAAAAAAACACTCATTAAAAAAAAAAAAGGGGGGCCAGGGAGATGGCTCAGTAGGATAAGCGCTTGACTGGCAAACATCAAGGATCTGAGTTCAATCCCCGGTTCTGCAAAAAAAATAAAAATAAAAAAAAATAAAATAAAAAACCTTCCAAGGCTGCATCATGAAGTTCCAGAAGCTGGGCCTGGTGCCCGTAATCCCAGCATTTGGGAGGCTGAGGCTCAAGGGCCACTGGAGCATAGTGAGCTCAAGGCCAGCCTGAACTACAATAGAATACAAAGTGAGCCTCAAAGATTCAAAAAGGAGGGCTGGTGAGATAGCTCAGTGGTCTAAAGCTCCTGCTTAGGCAAATGCAGCGACCACAGTTCAATCCCTAGCACCACATGCCACACCAGCCCTATCCCCAGGACAGGACATGGGCCACAAAAAGAAAAAGAAAAAAAAACCTAGCAAGAATGATAAAATAAGTGTGTTCAAAGCAAGATGGAATATTTTAAGGGGGGCTAATAATAATGCATCTTTTACTGTAATACACGTTTTGGAGAAGGATTTTTTTTTCCCCTTGGCTCACTCAGGCTGCCTTAAGGGCAGGTCTGGTGAAGTTGTGGGCATCAAACTGCGGTCCCCTGCACCTGACTGACTCTGCCCAAGCAGGCGCTTTAAGCAACTGAGCTCACCCCCAAGCCCCCTGTAACACATGTTTTGAACTGAACACTTTTGTACTTCCGATCATTCCTTGCACCTCCCCCTGGGGTTGCAAAGCCCCACGTGACTTGAGGAGGCGCCTTGGGCATGAGGCTGGAACCCTCGGGAGGAAGCACTCTTGGTCCTCTGTCTTGTCCGGAGTCTGGCACTGCAGGGGACTTGGGGTGCACCCCCCTCCAGTTCCCAGCCCTGGCTGGTCCACCCAGCTGGCCTGCAGGGGGACAGGGCACCAGTCCTGTCTCCTGCACCTGCTGCCCACCAGCCCTACCGCCCTTGCCGGCTGGGCGGGGCGGGGCCCCACCTCATGCTCCGACATGCTCACTGAGCACTGGATGCCCATGTCCACCGGGTTCCGCTCCACGAACTGTGCGGCCAGCTTGGGGTTGGGCAGGATGTCGACGTTCAGGTCAGCTGGGCGGTCTGAGAAGTTGCACTGCTTTCCAAACTCGCTGCGCTTCTTAAGGTACACGTAGACGATTTCCATGGTGACAGCGGCTGCAGGGCAGAGGTAGCATGTGGGGGGGCAGGCCCACCCGGCCCTGTCCCTTCTCCGAAGGTCTCATTGGGGCAGCTGTAGGTTTCGAGGGTGGGCATAGGGAGTCCCTGGGGATTTGCCCAGAAGCTGCAGCTCATCTGAATGTGGACTGCGTGCTAAGCATAACATCATTTTGCTTGTCTCCTGCACTTGCCTAGTAGGGTGGACAATGAAATTACCATTTTACAAAGGACACTGGACACTCAGAGGTACCCTACGCGACTTAGCACCATGGAACTGGGCAAGGGTCTGCCTCACTCCGGAGTTCTCACCCATCAGGAATAGTTTCTGCTGTATCAGTATTTCTTTTTTTTTTTTTTGGCAGAACCGGAGATTGAACTCAGACCCTTGTGCTTGCCAGGAAAGCACTTATTCCACTGAGCCATCTCCCCAGCCCCTGAATCAATATTTCTTGGGAGGCAGGAAGATATCAATGGCGATTATGTTGGGCTAAGTTCTCTGCTGCACTCCAGAGCTGAGCCACGTGGAACACAGACAAGAAGGCCCCGGCCTCTTTGGGAATCCCCCACCCAACCACCTTGCTATCCAAAAGGCTCGTCCACCCCGTCACTCTCTGCAGAGAGCTCTCTCTACCACTCTGTCAGGCAGAGAAGAGAGTCACCCTGAGAGACACAAAGCTGGGCAGCTTCCTCAGTTGACACAATAGCCAGGCCTTTAGGAAAACCTCTGCTCTGGGCCACTGGCCTTGAAAAGCCGGGCTTGGAAAGCAGACTGGGCAGGCCCCTGACCGCAAGTTCTGGCCCTACCCTCGTCAGCTGCAAGACCTTGGCTGGGCCGCTGAGTCCTTCCCAGAGCTGACCCGGCCTCGGATGCCCAGAGGTGCAGTGAAATGCTCCGGCAGCTCGGGCAGACGTGGAGCTGGAGCTCACGTGCAGCATGCTTCCCGCAAATCGCTCTTCGCTCATCCCCAAAGAGACCCTGGTCCTCTGAGCCTCCACAACATCCACAGATGTAGGGAGAGGAGCAAAGACCACAGGACCAAGAGGGAGGCCTAGAGTGCATTTCCGTTCTCCACCTCTCACACCACACTGAGAAGCACCCGTGCCTCCCGCTCTGGGCTGCTGGACCCAGACAATCACGAGCGGCTCCCCACCACCGCTCTGACAGCTGCTGCGGCAGCCTGTGACTTCCTGGGCCAAGGCGGGAGGCACATGAGAAAGAAGAAACTCCAGGAAGCTAGAACTGCTTCTTGGGCCCAGAGCAGATTTGTAACAGCTTCATCTCCTCTTTCCTTCATGGTTCCCAAGGCTGAGCCCTGAGTGAAAACAGAGGCATTGTCTTGTGACTCGGGCCAGACAGAGAGGACATTTAAATGGTGGCCTAGTGATGGGAAGACAGCTCATTCAAGGATCCAGAGCTGCCTCTTTTCTCACAAGCTGGCAGATCTCAGGAATGAATAGCGAGGTCAGCTGAAGGGGTCTCGGGAGTGCAACAGGGTGGGCTTCTCCAGGCAGGGGCTGAGCAGGGGCTGCCTGGGGTGGGGGAGGGCGGCACAGAGTTACTGCTGTCTGGGAGTCTGGTGGGGAGCGCCCTCCCCATGGGAACCTGGAGACCTCAAGGCGTGTAGAACATGGCGGTTAGTATCAAACAACAAACACACAGGATGCTGCAGCCAGGCACGGTGGCACATACCTGTAATCCCAGCACTAGGGAGGCTGAGGCAGGAGGGTCACAAATTCATGTCCTACTCAGGCAATTTAGCAAGATCTTGTCTCAAAATAATAAATTTAGAAAACTAGCTGTGCAAGTCTCCCATACTGAGGAAGAGAGATCTCTGGGCTTGTTCCAAGGAGGGCTGTACAGGACATGGAGGAACTAAATCGGAAGTTTGACCTTGATAGGATACCCTAAGGGGGCCCAATAATGCCAGCGCCCAGGTAAGGAACAACTGATAGGATGCGTTCAAAGTACAAATCCCTAGCAGGTTCGGATCCAGTTTCTTAAGAGGTCCAGCCCTTGAGAGACCCCTCTCGCCCAGTCTGCACCGTGACGGGGTTAGCGGTGCAGAGGCTAAGGTGTTCAGAGATTGAGGGTCCTGGGACTGAGGGAGTTTCCAGCGTAGCCACGACCAACGTTGTAAAGGACTCCAGGATTGCTGATCCTGCGTCCACCGTCCCGCAGAGCCATCCCCAAAGAAAGCCCTCTAGAGAAGTTCTTGCACCGTTGGCGGTTTTTACCCTCTGGGTTTCTCCCCTTCTCTCTCCACTCTCTTCTTCAGGCGTGGACGATCTCCCTTTATCCTGGGTTGGCTCCTGCTGCGGCTCTGCCAACGGGAAGTACCCAAGCCAAGCCCGTGGCTCCAGAGCGCCTCAAACTGCAGGGAATTGCACAGTTGACCGGTTGCCTAGCAACCCGAGGGGGCGGGGGCGGGACCCGGACGCGGGCGGAGCCTGATCACGTGATTCTGTCCATCGCCTCTGAAATGTAGCCGCCTGTTCTCGCTCTACTAGAGGTCTGTGGAAAGGGAGGAAAGTGAACCGAGTTAGTGAGATACCCGTAGTGCTGAATATTTGTAGGAGTTTTGCCAGGGAGTTTCTCCATGTCTACAAGCATGCATCCAGCAAGGTCCCGGGACAACGCAAGAAAAGCCATCGATGCTTGGGAAGCCCGAGTCCTGCCGGGGAAGCCGGCTCTGCAGCCTGCTTCGACGTTGGGAGGCCATTCCGCTGCTCCATGCAAGCGCCCCTGCTCCGTATTCTTTGCACCGAAACTCCTTGTGAGCAGGGATTAGGTGTTCCCGCAGTTTAGCTGCATGGTTAGCACGTTGCAAACACGTACTCGCTGAATGAACGCGTCAGTGAATGAGATATTACTTCTCACCAGGTTAAGGCAAGCAAGTGGGATAATCCAAGCTAAATGAAGGGAGTTTAGGGTTAGAAACGCGCACCTAATGTCCCCGGTAGCTTCTCCAGGGAAAGTCCTGCGTGCTTCCTGCGGCTGTGGGTGTTTACATGCTGTATGTCCTTGAGCGAGTTACTAGTCTTTTCCCAGACTCAGTTTTCTGTATCTGCACAGTGAGGGACAGTGGCAGTTCTCGGTGGGTACCTGGGAGGGACTTCAGCCCGCGCCGAAGGCAGAGCCAGAAGGACAGCGCCGCGCTTCGCACACGGGGACGGAGGTTAGCGTGAACTCGGGTGGACCCTGGAGCAGGCGAGGAGTGAATCATCCGAGAAGTGGGATTTGGGGTTGGAACCCGGCCCTGGAAAATGGGTATCAACCGCAGGGGGGTGGGGCAGGGGGAGCGTTCCAGATTGGGGGCGGGGAGCTGTGACAAGAGAGGAAGAGGCATCTGCTCTCTAAAGGGACAATGTTTGGGGCTGCCATCTCCCCAAGCCACCAGCCCTGGGAAGCGACGACTCTCTGATGGTATATTATTCTCTTGCGTGGAGAAGCGGGGGTTGGTGGATAAGAAGAGAGAAATGGGAAAAGTTGGGCGGAAACTGCAGCCTGCTGTCTCTCAGGTTCTAGCGATTTATTACAAGCTCCCCACCCTCACGCAGAGGAGCGCTGCCAGCTACTGCCGGAAACTGTTCTTTGGTAATCTCCTCGCAGGCCGGACCAGCCACTCAGGGAAGCAGGCACGGGGTTACCCAGTGAATGCTCACGGAACACCACAGAGCAGAAAATGCGTTACCTATCTCTCTGCGCTCCACCCAGTCACAGCGCAATTGGCAACAGCAAGCCTTTGCTGACATCAGCCCTATCCCTGGATATGCCCCAGCCTACATCACAGACCGCTGAACATCTTTTTCCATTTTATTAAAATTGTTGTAAAATAAGCACACTGAAAGTTTTTCCTTATTTTTGAATTGGGTTTTCTTTGGTTGTTGAGTTTTCCATGCGTTACGGATAGTAATACCATAGCAGATTATAAATGTCTCCTCCCTTTCTGGGCTGCTTTTTTACTCAAGGGTTGCTTTTTTACTCTCTTGATGGTATCTTTTTAAAACACTTTTCCTGAGACAAAATCTTGCTATGGAGTACAGGCTGGCCTTGAACTCACTGCATAGCCAGGCTGGCCTTCAATTCCTAGGCAGGAAGACTGGGATTGCAGCTATGTACCACCATGCCCAACCTTTGATAGTATTTATTTATTTATTATTTAAATTCATGCATTTGGTATAGGGCCTCGCTACACAGCTCAGACTTGCAGTGATCCTCCTGTCTCACCCTCCCCAGAGCTGGGATTATAGGTGTGCACCACCACACCTGGTTTTGGTGGCTGGCACAGTGTGCCCAGGGTTCTGCGGCTGGCATAGCATGCGGTAGTGGGGATTGAACCCGGGTCCTAACACTTGCCAGGCAGGCTGTTAGACTGCCAAGCTATCTCTCCAGCCCAGATAGTATTTTTTTTAAATTTTATTTATTTGTGTGTGTGTGTGTGTGTGTGTGTGTGGCCAGCTCAGCCCACCTGGGGGCGGGGCTGGCTGGCATGTGGTGCTGGGGGATTGAACCGCGGTCCCTGTGCTTTGCTAAGCTTGTTCTAAGTAGGTGCTTTAGACCACTGAGCCATCTCACAGCCCCCAGATAATATTTTTTGATGCATACATTTAAAAATTTTTCATAACTTTTAGTTTTTTCACTTTTTCTTTTGTTGCCTGTGTCTTTCTTTCCTGTCCTATCCAACAAATCATCCCCACAGCCAATGCTCCAAAAATGTTTCCCTATGTTTTCTTCTAAGAGATGCATGCTTTCGTGACTTACATTTAGGTCACAAATTCACTTTGAGGTAGGTTTTGTATATTGCATTAGGTGAGGTCCCATTTCATTCTTTTGCTTGTGGCTAGTCAGATTTCCCAGTGTCATTTGTTGAAAGAACCATCTCTCTGGGGCTGGGTACATAGCTCAGCAGTAGAGCACTTCCTAGTGAATGAGAAGCTGTGTTATCCTTTCCCAGCATGGGGAGGGGAGGGGACTGCCTTTCTCAAAAACAAAGTGGGGATTTGCCCTTTACCTTTTTGAAGGAAGAACATCTACATACATTATCTGAAAATCTTCTACATACAGACTCAACTTTCCATGGCCTGTAATGGGCAACACAAAAACATTTGGCAGACACCACTTGCTTTCTTCTCCAAAGCTTAGGGCAAGCTGCGTGCTGATTTGCAGGAATAAGGTGTGTGTAATGCATGGGTGGGGGGAGTGGGAAGGCTGCTGTGTGGCCTCATCAACAGGTCCCCTCCACTCCCATGTAACTAACTCTTCCCCCACCCATCGTTGTCGGAGTGCTTCCATCACCTCTGGTTCGTAAAGCCTTCCTGTGAAGGTGTCTGCCACACCCCTGGTGAGACCACCTACCCCACATCTTGGCACCAGTTAAGTGGTATCAGCTGCTCTCACTACCGGAGCCCAGCCTTTCCCTGTCGTCTCAGGGCAAGACGCCCTCTCCTCCTCTACAGCTCTGCTGTCATCCATGCAGAGAGCTCCTCTGCCCTCTCTGTTTCAAGCTCTTTACTCATGTAATATTCAAGTAAACCAAGGCAACTATCCTGCCCAAGGGACATACTCCACTTGGACTGGAATCTGTACAGGTGGGACTTTCTTGGGGTATCAGGAATCCCAGAATAAAAAATTGTTCATGGTTTGTGTCCAAAGAAGGCAAAAGACGAGGTGAAAAAAGGAGCAGGAGCCATATGGGAGTGTATCTCTGGGTCCCTCTGGGAAAGGTCATTTGGGAAAGGTAGAAAGGCTCTTAAGGCATCCCAGAAGATGCCCAAACCCTCTTAAGTCCCAGGGGGCCTGGGTTTCGTGTCTGTGACAAGGCAGCCATATTGCCTGAGAGGCCATGCTGGGCCTAACATTAGCTACAAGTGCTGGGGACAGGTAACTGGCAGGGAATGCCACAGCAGGCATAGTCAGGCTGTCGTCTCTCTACCTAAACCCAGAGAAGGAGGCTGGAACTGGAGTGAAACTTGGGGCTCTGGTGCCCACAGAGCACTTAGAGTTTGAGAGAGGGAGTTGAGGGAGGGGTGCATACACTGCAGTCTTCTCTCTGGTCAGCTCCTCTTCCTTTTCTTTCCCAAGGAGAAAGCCACGTCTTCCTTGAAAGACCAGCAAGACCAAGACCTCCCAGAGGCCTGACCCCTGTAGCTGCGATCCGCACTCCTGTAGTGCACTGGCTGGCACAGGCCACCCGAGCCCCATGGTTCCTCCCTGCTCCTCCAGCTCGCCCGAGTCCTGCCTCTTGGTTCTTTCTGGGCCTTTTCTTCTGCGTGCTCCATCAGTCCTGGGGATGCTTACTGGGCTCCTCCCAGCCCTTCCACACAGCTCCACTCCTCTCCACGGCACTAGTGACTGCATGTGTGCATGTCCCTCAGGTCTAGGTCCCCAGGCCTCTTTATCAACGCTGGGCCTGGTCTGGACCTGCCTGCCCAACCTTGCCTTTCAGATGCCACAAGTACCGTTAACTCAACCTACCAGGAAGAAGGTCCTCATCTCCCCGTATGGCGTTTCTCCATTATCCCAAGATCTCTGCCTATCACCGAGGACTTAGGGACGGCTCTTTCCTATGAAACAGGGAGACGGGCATGTATGACCGCCACAACCCTGAGCGCTGCCTGTCAGCCATGTTCAGGAGGCAGATGTTGAGTGCTGCTTTTTATGCTGAATGAGCCTGGGGCGGCTTTTTGCCTCATGCTTGCCAGAGACATCCAGCTGAGGTGACAGACCACTGCCAGGCAGGAAGAGGCAGGAAGACAGCATTTCCTTAGTGGAGAGTGAGTCTAACTCTCTTGTCTACACACACAAATCAGGGGTCGAGAAGGGAACAGATTTTTATTTATTTATTTAGTATTTTACTTTATATTTTTCAAACTACTTATTTATTGGATACGGGGTCTTACTACACAGTTCAGACTCATAGTGATCCTCCTGTCTCTGCCTCCTTAGCTTTGGCATCACAGGCATGTCCCCCAGTTTCGGGGCCCGCACGGTGTGCCTGGTATTTGTAGGCCAGCACAGCATGTGGTACTGGGGATAAAACTCAGGATGCTGTACTTGCCAGGCAGGTGCTTAGACCACTGAGCTATCTCCCTGGCCCTATTTTGTATTTTAGGACAGGGTGTACAGGGTCTCACTGCGTAGATCGGACTCGCAGCGATCTGCCTGTTTACAGCCTCCCAAGTGCTGAGATTATAGGCTCACGCCACCACACCCAATCTTTTTTTTTTTTTT